ATTCCTGATCCAGACCCAACACAGTCAGTAAAATATATCGGGCCAAAATCAACTATCATGTTATCGGAAAATGAGCCAGTAACAACCAGCAGCGATCAAATTGCACTACCATCCTTCACTGCCAGCGAAGTATCAAGAAACCAAGATCGTTCGTCAACCTCATTTGTCACTGAAGATGTCGATTTCCCAATATGTAGTTTACATCCATGCGCAAATGACGGAGATTGTTATGAGAACAAACACTCTTTCATCTGCGTATGCAAACCAGGATTCAAAGGTAATATCTTACGACTAAATAATATTTTTTAATACTTCCAAATTAAGAAAATAGGAAATTGTTGTAAATAGTGTACACCAGTGGTTTTCAACCTTTAATGGCTCGTGGCCCCCTTCCGGAGGCTTCTTGCACTCGTGCCCCCCCCCCCCCCCCCGTCCATCATTCTAGAAAAATTTACGTGTTAGCTTGTAATAGGTATTTACGACCTTTTATAGAATTTCAAAAACAAAGCACGGGCAAAAAAGTCAGGGCTTTTCAGTAAACAATCAATGGGAATCTTGCGCTTGGGACTGTCTAACTAGGTTCCCGTACATTTGAACCCACGACAATTGCACCTGTGGAAATTTTTTTGTTTTGCGGATATTTGAACCCATACTAACCCTGTCCCTAACCCATGGGTTTTAGCACCCGCATATAGATTGAACCCGCGGATATACACATGGGCTCAAATGTACGGTCACCGGTTCCTTATATTAAGCACCGTCTTTGATATAGGCAGGCGATTGTCACTTTCAACATCAGGGCGGTTCCTAGATTTTGCTTTGTTGGTAACAAGATCAGAAAAAAATAGATTCGCACAAATGGGTTGTAAATTGAACTAGCAATGATGATGCATTCTTACACGTAGTAGGTGGTAATGGCTTCTTTGCTTGATTTTAAAGCAATCATCGGCAGTCATGTCATCAATAAAGCCAACGTAACTGTCGTTCCCTTTTCGTATTTTGGGGATTGAGAATTCACATATAGGCTTCTGAAGTTATAATATGATATCGACGATTAGCTCGTATTCTAGCGAAACTGCCCGTTTGCAGGATAGACCGCCTACTGACAAACTATTCTGATTAGTAGATTCAAAATTCCATTATGATTAAACTATTCACACACACAAGAAAGTTACTACGTCTTGTGACTGAGGTAAACGGGTATGTGATTTTCAACGTTTTTTTTTACCAGGTCCAACTTGTCTCCAACGAGCTCCGATAATTTGCAAAAGAGGAGATCCTGCGTGTAACAGAGCTTTATCAACAACATTTTCGAATTTTATTTCAACTATTTTGTTATTAGTTTTTTCGTTTTTAATATCTTGCCTTTTGTCTTGAGTGATATGAAATTAGTCTAATATTGAACAAAAATGTTTTTTTTTTCTTTTTATGCAATCATGAACGATAGCCGAATATTGTGGAACGCTGTTACATTTTTTTTATGAGTCTCTACATAACAGTAAATGTTTATCATTGTGAAATCATAAAATGGGGATCATATAGACATTATAGAGTTAAGTCCAGGATATAGAAATGTTGATAAATTGCGAAATATAGCAACTTACTTTAATAGCATTTCAAATGGCCTCTTCGTCAATATTCGTAATATATCACCGATTTCAAACGCAAAACAATTTTAGGTACAAGTTATATGTTTCATTGTGCTTTATTTATTAGTGCTTTTCATGCAACTTTTACTGCATGACAATCCAGTTACTTGTTTATCGTTTCTTTCTCCTTTTTATTGGTTTCAGAAATGCATATTACGAAATCTTCATTCTGACCTGAGGCTATAAAGTTTCGCTATATGTGATTTTCATTATTTGTTTCATACTTGTATAATTTTAAACCAAGAAAGAACCAAACTTATAATAGGATGATCGTTCTGAACGCTATGTAATATTTTATGGTGTGGATGTGATTTAGATTACGATGTTTGTTCGTGTATTCCTTGAGGCACTTTATCTCTCGTGTTGTTTGATACTGTCACCGAAATATAGTCTACCGCTTGACATTTAACGATATTATTACAAAAAGTTAATGTTACCTGGGGAACGATTTTATCATTTATTTTTTCATAATTTTAATAATCAAATCATTGTGTTTCTATAATTTCAAACAAATTTTATTATTTTTTTTTGCTCAACTTTTTCTGCCGTCTAAATTTTGTTGCCTTTTTGTATGCGGCTTGTCTAGACTCTTCTTCTCAGCATGATCCTGAATCCGAACAAATGAATTTAACTTACACTATTATGGTAACGTCATTGTTTCGTAGTCTGTTTGCTTTTTAATTGCTTGAATTTGTACTGAAATTCCTGTTATTTCATCTCACAAGCAAGTTTAATCTTTAAGCCAAACGCGTTTTTTTTCTACCAGTATTTTTATACCTAAGCGATGTCTTCATTCCATAAACCTCAATTCAAATCAAGCCTTACCAAAAACAAGCAAAGCGAAATTTTACTCACGCCAAAACACCTTATGGAACTTTCTATTTTTGCCAAATGTTTTGGAAGCAAATTATCAATGCAGCACTGTTGAAATATCTATTTTATGAAATCATAGCCTTCAATTGCTATTTAAGTTGACCAGTCGATCTTCCCTTTTGTTTCACTCATGTTTGCCATGTTGAATATATAGGTTGGTGTGGAAGATTTCGTAACGAATTGTTTTTTCGATGAAAGTAGTGTCCTGACTATTGGTGCCAGAATACTTAGGATTGTTTGGTTGCTGCTTGCGACACTGTGAAAATAAATGAATTTGTTATGAAAAAAAAATTGTTTTTGTATGTCAAAAATTATGCTGGCCATCGTATGATCATACACCATTTAGCTTGAGCATTCATGTCACTGAGACGAAGTCCGCCAATGCCCAACAAAGTTCCTGGTATGATTTTATTTTTCCAAGAAAAAATCAAAATAGTAAAACCGTTCAATTTCAAAAATTTTATTGAAAGATAAATACAACACGCTCCAGTTTGACCAAAAAATGTTTGGAATTACAAAACAAATCTGAACAAGAGATTTATAAAAGAGATATCGCCGTTAGAATTTTATTTGATCCTACATTTGTTTTATACCCACTTGACATTGACATTCCTAAATCCGATGTTTACAGTCTGGAACTGTCAAGTGACACTCAGTACAAGCTGTTAAACTATACAATTCCCTGGATTGCCATGTGAGAAAATAGCTGGAGGCAAACTTTTCAAGTGCACCTTAAATTTCTTCGAGAGTATAAAATTTATTTTATAGACTGGAATGATGCTTGCTACAAATCCACTACAAAATATTTAGGGTAGTCGATTTGAATAGCATCTTCGATATGAAACTGGCCCAATTTATCACAGCCTATCAAAATGGGATAATCTTTTAATTTAGGTGGAATATGGGAGTATATTTAAAAAAACTGCAATTATTTTATGTTGCTACAAAATACCCAAGTGGACTAATATTTAAAGTTATGGGTTGATAAAACTCATTTCAGTAACTATCTTAAAATGAATATACAGGGTGGACCCAAAAAAATTACTATTATTCCCATTCTGAATGTAAAAAATGGTAAATTTTTTTTTTGACCCACCTGGTATATCAGTGTTCAAAGTTTTGAATTCAAGGATCAAAATCGGCCTTTTCAGTGGCGAAATTTAGTGTATGTTAGTAGATATCGGGCATTTTGCTATTACAATTTTCCGCCAAGCAACACATGTGGTTGTGTGACCTCAAAACAGCTCGAAAGAAACATCTAACGGAAGGCTTCGCCGAGATGTTACTGTAAAGACCGAGAGCAACAAGTTTAATGAAAAGACCGGCGGTCAAGCGTAACGTAGGCGGTCAAGCGTGACGTAAAAAAGGTGTTTTTCGTTTAATTAAAATAAATCAGCAACCTTAGGGTGAAATATCGAATGAATTTGATTTAATAGTAAAAGCAATAGTTTTAGTTCTCATCAAGTCTATATATATATAACGATTTTCGGAATGCTTTCGCGGAATTTTCACATACTGTACTTGAAGAAGCTTAAAATAAACTATAAACAGTATTTTATTGGACACGTAGTGGACATAGCAATCGTTTCAATATTATGTTGTTGTTGTTCTTTGACACGTTTTTAAAAAGTCGCTTTTCTCTTTGATTACTGGACCAATTGCTTTGAAATTTTCAGTGGTTAAAGATAAAAATTTTCTTCAGAAGGCTATTACTTTTTGTTGTTGCTATGACGTCATCAAAATTATTGCCATTAGGTGGCGCTACGTGTCCATATATTTGAGCATAGCTCTCTTGTTTTCTAGTATGATTATGCAGTCATAACCCATATCTCGCCGCCATGCAGCCTATATATTCCCCATTTACGTTCAGGTTGCAACCATATTGATCAACGCAGTATTTCGCAATATACATTTTGAAAAATCCATCATTCTCAAGACCGAATTTTCGAAGAAGTGTCATTATGGACATGGTCCGTCGCTGTCCTCTATGCTTCCGCGCTACTCAAGTTCGTGAATTTACGATCTTTCTTTAGCTTCAAGGGTCCTTTAGCCTCTTTAAAAGTAGTTTGACATCCTTTCACTATTGAAATTTTGACTACCAATTGAATGAACGTCGCTCATTATGCGAGGTAATGATCTTTTGTCACAGTTGACATATGCAGTTGACCGCATTAGAGGTAGAGAATACATACTGAACGTGCGTTGAAAATGTTGTTATTGTGAAGGATCTATCAATGTGAAATTGGACGTATTTTCAGATGACTAGGGCCTCCATTTCCGTCGGATATCTTCGAACAAAACAGCTTATAAATTAAAACTGAGACTGCATAACGTCGCTCAGATTCAGAACGCTCGATGACGGATGCTGCGCTAGTGAAAATGACAGAGCATTTGGAATCTTCAGTTAAAAGATTGTTCTGCTGATTGTTACGTAATAAAACATAGATTACTTGCATTTTAACTTGTTGCGTCACAGATACTTATCTTTTTGTTTGAAGACAATTTTAGATTTTTCTTAGCAGTCTCCAGCTGATGTTTTGTCTGCCAGGGCGCTGATTTGTTCGCAAGCTCCGGACAGCTAGAGCGTGCACGATGGCCGAGGTGGCGGATCCCAGGTAGGAGCAACAAGAAAACTTGAAATTTTCGGTTGTACATTATTTTGCGATAAAGTTATATCAAAGATCTATAGTAATATTGCGCTTATCCTTCAGCAGCTAAATGTTGCGATGCCTTGTAAGAAGACGGTATAATTTTCGCTCCAGTATGTTCTCGTAATCAGACGGTAGAGTTTTCTTTGTTTTCCTATAAAAAACTTGTCTAGATTTGAATTAGTGTTTTCTTTTTCAATTTGATCCGCAAAGTTAACCCATGTCTTACCAGTACCTCTTACCGGTACTCGCACTTTTAATGTATTTAGCAAAAAATTGTCATATACGATCATTTTTGATGATCTACCAATGATGATCTTGTTTTGTACCTTATACGTTCATTTTATGAGACCGCTATCGACCTAGGCCTGATGCAATTTATGAAATAATTTTTAAAAAATTTCAAATTTCTGCTTTTAAATCTTGGCTATAGTGACGTCATAATACTATCTTGTTTGGATTTTGAACATTCCTTTAATTAGGAGCGCAAAAGTTCCCATATCGGACTGACTACAGTATTATCAGTCAGTATACCGTAACTATCATTAATTATCGCCATTGTGTCAAAACTGTTATTGAATGAATTGCACTTTTATTTTTAATTGAAGTTAACATTAGATAAAAAGTCAAATAAACTCCGATATTGATAACGTTACATCATTGGCCTGAACAATCTGCGTAATATGTCTTAACATCGAATTGATTATATTACAGGATGGAGTTCTTGCAGTATAAGACTCTGAAGACGCTCAATCTGAAAGGGGATAAATGGGCCAAGATGTTAGGAAATGAAGAAAACAAGATCATGATTCTAGAATTTCTGGAAAAAAATGATATACCTTGTCTTCTTATCATTAGCAGTGCTACAGGACTTGCGCCAAACTACGGATTTCCTGATTTTATCAAGCAAAAAGGCAAGCTTTGGCTGTGCCTTGATAAGCTGTGTCTTGATAACCGCTAACACAAGGGCACAGAAAAGCTAAGAGTAGTTGGTACCAAAATCCTAAAAGCTAAATCAAATATTCCGACTTATGTCTAAGAGGTACTAGAGTAGCATTCGAAGGCTGGTTAAATTTTCATTAACTTCGCAATTTTTTCAAATAAGTATGACGCCATAATGGCTGCAAAGTATCTCCAATACTGTTATAGTCATAAAAAGTTGGGAAATGTTTTTTTTCTAGCAAATATCACGGTTTAACAGTAAACGACAAGTTTTGCGATCATATTTATTTAAGAATTGGTTTTCATGGTCATTTTGAGCATGCAATAAAAAATTCCGTAATAAAAAATACAGAATTGTCTATGACTGACCGGTGGAAATATACTCCAATTCCTATGTACTCAATTAATTTATTGTTTTTTATGATTTACTGGATGTGAATTTTTTTCAATAGGAATTTACGCTGTAAAAAAGAAAAAAGAAGCGCTGACAAAAGATAACGTTAAGAGAAATTTGCTTGTTGGAGATTTATCTCAGACTCCGCTTGAACATGTTTCTCCACTTATTGACGAGGTAGATAACCACATTTAATAATAGGTTTCACTCCGCTACTGATGCTGAAATTACAAATTTTTGTCGTTTGAAGTAGTTAAAATTATTTCATAACGACAGCCGTACGAATTATTGTCTGAAATCTTTCATTTTTGTGTTATAATTAGTTGAACAGCAATAAAATTTTAAAGTAATTTAAGAGGATGTAAACATATTCATGTAATTTGAGTCGTTTTTGCTCCATAGTATACCGCTCAAATATTGGAAATAATGACCATCGGGGTTTTAGCAATTTTGTCGATATTGATTGGATCTTTAAATCTGTGTTTTTGATTGGTAGTAGAGAGCGATGCCGTGGCTAAGACACAATTAATTTTTTTAAAGTGAAATCACAATTCTTATGGTCTCTTTTTCTTTACAGTTGATGTCCAGGCTGGTTGCAAATGACGACAATCATTGTCAGTGGCCGAACGTGGTGTCCCAGGACGTATTGCGTCATGTGCACAAACTCAAAAGTAATGTTTTTGTCGTTGCTGGGCACGTTAAAGGAAAGACACTTCTTCCGCTTCCTGTTGGATCTGAACGAGTCGACTCTGCAAAATTAGAAGAAAAACGGTAGGATCCTTGTTATAGAAGGTCTTATCATTCGTTTTAAATTTAGCCATGAATGCAGTACGCCCAGCTTCGGCAAAATGATGCAAAAATTTTTAGTCCCATTTGTACCGTTGCCCGAGAGAACCAAAGTGGGATTCTTCACTGGCAGGCAGTACTGGATTCCATTGGGGAAGTTGAAAATGTACGGTACTAGGTCAGGAATATAATTCATTCAATTTGGTGATCAGTTTCGTTGCTAGAAGATATTGCTGTATTGGGACGCAACCGTTAATACTAATTTTAACATTCAATATTTGTATGTTATCAAATAAAGTAGTTGCATGACGTTAAACCTAAATTTAGAGCATTTCTGCATGCAGTGGAAACTGTTGTTATCGACTGGAGCCATCAGATTCGGGATGTGCTCAAACAAGAATCAGCTCAACCTTTGTTGGAAGGCAAAAACCCAGGACCGGATGTTGAGATAAAATTCTGGAATTCGAAATGTACCAATTTGGAATGTATTTACAACCAAGTATGTATTGATTTCTGTGGTGTAGTCAGTAGATATCTTGACAGCTAATTCTAAGCATGTTGCTAAGATATAGGTAGGACACATGATGTCTACCAGATTAGAGTAGAAATAAAACTATACGCAAATGCACTGCACACTGGATTAAACTCATTGTGATGAAACTGTCAGGTCGCGTAAAATACGATGCTTAAAATGAAGGCAAATTTAGGGTATGGCTAAATATGTATATTATTGAGGTGTATATATATATTTTTTTTAAGTTGAGAGAAAGCAAAGTGCGGAAGATGGCAAATCTGCTAGAAGTATCAAAGAGCAGCTACTATCCAGCTCTACGAGATATCTTCACTGATGTGGTCGCAGGTGAATAAATATTTTAAATTTTACCTTTGCATGCTTTACCCGATTTTATAATGATTCACAGTTTTACACATCTTCTCATATGAACAAATAAAAATTTGATGGGAAATAATTCGTTTCACACAATTTGTTTAACAGCTCTTCGTGAAGCAAGAGACATTAAGATGCATTTGAATCCACTGAGAAGTTTAATAGATGATTTGGAACAAACTGATCTATCAGAGGTTGAATTTTTTTTCAGAAATGACTTAGAATTGTAGTTTTGTATTTTGCAATATTTTAGCAATCTTTTTGCATTGCCAAAACACCTAATCCATGACAATACAGGAGATACTTCATGCTACAAATAGTATAATTTTTTGGTGAATAGTTTCTTGATTAGATTTGCTTCAAACAGATTTTTGAACAAGTACTCACTGAATAGTTAATTAATTAATTAAGTTAATAATATATGTTTTCAGATTTCACCCAAAATCAAAGCTCTGATGCATGTTGTTTGTTTGATCTGGTCGAATTCAAAATATTACAACACACCAGTGAGAATCATCGTTCTTCTTAGAGAAATTTGCAACTTCTTTATTGAGATTGTAAGTTGAATATAGCGGGAATGCTTCATGTCTATATGTTAGATTGGTAATGAGATTTGACATAAACTCTAAATGCTTCATGACACTGAATTTTTTTTGTTGTTTGAAATACCAGAGTCTAAAACTGATGTCTGATATAGTGTGCTAGTTATATATAGTATGCAGTAATTCTTTTATATAGAAGTTTGAATTGCTTTTCCTAGTACCAATAAATTTCAATCCTAATAAAAGACAACAGGTAAGTTTTGCTTCCAACCAATTTATAAATTTATTTTGCAGCCAAAATATGGATTATATCTATATGACTCAAACGACTGATATGATCATCAAAATATTAAAGTTTATCAATTTCCTGATATGTCATTAAAACTCCCAATGTAACTTTGCAAGACTTTATTTGACAGTGTACTTTATCGATGATTGCCGAAGATTTAAAATGATTATGATGCAAGCCAAGGAAGAAGTTGTTAGTACACAAAACATCATAATTGAATTCCTGTATTTATTAGACTTGCACATATTTGTCACCTGAAGAATTAATGAAAGGAGAATTGGATGAATCATTGGAAAGAGTTGGAATTGCAATCTCTGTTCTTCAACAATTTCGTGACAGTTACAATCATTACAGAGTTAATATTGATAAGTACTTCAAGGTAAATTTACACCAGAGTATTAAGATCAATTACAGTTTGGAGAACTGGAGTTAAGCGGCTAATTTTAATGTAGTCGAACCACTAAACTTTCTGAAAGCTTTTTAAATGTGTTTGTTATCCAATCTCTTGTATTAAAGATAATGCTTTACGGCAATAATAGTCTCACAATGAGCGATGTTATTTGCGTTTTGTTCCTAGAATAAAGATGAAGTAAAGAGATGGGAATTTGCTGCAGAACTTGTGTTTTCCAGAATGGATCGCTTTTCTGAACGTCTTGGTATTGTGATGGTATGCTTACAGACTAAATTTTGAACATTGTTTTATTTAGTTTAATGTTGACCATACTAAATTATATATTTGATTGGGTCAAACATACTAAATGATTTATTTCTTACAGGATTCTCAAAATGAAACCATATCTGAATTTTAAACAAAATTGAGTATATATTATATAAGTTGTACTTTTGGTAGCATATTTATTCAAGCACAGTGTCATTCATGAAATCAAACATTCGTGTGTGAACAAGTTTCATGTGATTCTATAATAAATTTGTTCTAGTATTTTTTCACTGTCAGTTTAAGTGGTCATTGTCATATTTCAACATCCACACTTTCAAGTACTTACATCCTCTTTCAATGACATTGATTTTCAATTGTGGCTCGTGGTGAAAAGTGATATTCATTCTGTGGTTACTGGTTAGTACGTGTACTAAAAATACAAGATACATAATCAGTTATCAGTCACCCAGTTGTCATGATGTTTGTCTTCTTTATATATTATGTGTCTTGTTTTGATTGTTTTTTTGTTAGAAAGGAACTTTTTATCCCAAATCTCATAAATGTTTATATATATTAGAGAAATTACAGTTTTTGTGTGGTAAAAAGCATGTCCATTTTTTCATCAGCAATTTTTTGCAACAAGTCAAGAATTCATGAAGCTTGAAAAAATTGAATTTGGTGGAGTGAAAGGTAGAGTGCTAAGCCAGCTGGTTCTCAGACTTTTTGACAGATTTCAGGACATTTACAAAGTGTTTGGAGAACGCACTTACAATCCACTTGATCCAGAAGACTCGGTAAATTGACTCATGACCTGCATAAATCAATGTTTGATCTTGTATGGCACATTAAAAGTTTTCTACAGAACTATTGATTGTGTTATACCCAACTATTGTACATTCCTGATTTTTATGGTTATCTATTCGGATAAATATCTTATTTTGAATTTGATTCTGATATGGTAATTTTATTTGACAGGCATTTGAAAATGACTTTAAGGATTTCAATGAAAACATCTCAGATCTTGAAAGACAGCTTGCCAATGTTATTTGCCAAGGATTTGATGATTGCTCTGGAATTGAATCAATGTTCAAGGTTTTTTAATAATTATATATGGGAACTGTTTTTCATTTTGGTTGTATCAATATATATAATACCCGGTTCCATTACATTTGAACCCACGTACATTTGAACCCATGACAATTGCACCTGTATGCTATTGCACCTATGGAATTTTTTTGTTTCACGGATAGTTAAACCCATACTAACCCTAACCCATGGGTTTTAGCACCCGCATATAGATTGAACCCGTGGATATACGCATGGGTTCAAATGTACGGTCACCATAATACCCACATAATACTGTCTAGATTCAACCTATTTAATACTACGCTTGCCCAACTTTTGATGATTAAAGTGACACATCTCACTTTTTTAGATGCTGAATATGTTTGGTACTTTACTCGAACGTCCAATCATCAAACGAGATTTTGATCACAAATATCCAATGCTACTTGTCAGTTTCAACACTACATTAGATGATGTGAAGCGAATGTTTGATAGTCACGTTGCTGATGTTGCTAATGAGGTATATACAATTTCTATTATTTTTCATGCATTCCAGTATCTAATTAAATTGTTGCTACCCAAGCAATTGTCACATATCTCCATGTTACATAAAATTATGACAAATAAAATGGTCCCCAACATTTCTTCCTTCATTACAAGGTAAACTTTATGGGATTTGCTTTTTATTATATATGACAATGTCATTATGACGCAACAATATGTTATCATATAAATACTATGCTCAACTCATAAGTATACCTCAATTTTTAGGAAAGTTATAAAAAAGAGGTGTTCCTTCTAAAACATGTTCCCGCTTAGATCTGAAAACTGTATGTACACTACGGACCGACATATATGGTAAACTCGAGCTCAAAATATGTTTATGATTATTATGTGTTATACTTTTGACTATTACTGAGTAGATTAGGTACATACATAATCAATCACGGGGCTATATTCACCACTTCTCGAGCAATTCTAATTCTAATAATCCCTATACTAAAATTCATTAAATGAGCACTAGCTGTTTTTTCCATTTATTCTCATGAGAGATAACAAATGGTTGCTGAAGTTCTCATTATGAAGTTATATTTTGAAATTAATCTACTAAATTTGATATATAATTTTGCAGACTGATATAAGAGGTCTTCATCCACTCACCCACAAAAACCAACCACCTGTTGCTGGACAGTTGAAGTGGGCAAGTGAAATGTGTCAAAGAATAACGTGGCCGATGGCTAACTTCAAAATGTTGAAGCATCCGTAAGTTCACAATCATAACTACTAAGTATCGAATTGGACATATTTAAACCAGATTTTTTCTTTCACAGATGCTTCGATAGTGAAGAAGCAATACTTGTGTTTTCAAAGCAAGAGCAGATGGTCAATCTTCTTAAACAGTGAGTTTGTTTTACCATGACATTTAGGGAAGGGAGAAGAGGAATGAAAAAAAATTTCCTTGTTCATTATTATCAAGTGACAAAGCTATCAAATGATATAAAATTAATTTGAATCTGTTCATTCATCTTATTTTTTTGTAGCGAAGTTAAAGTAGTTTTCATTACCCCGATTCGATTTGATATAAGCGACTTGAAATATATCATGTAGTTATATATATTTGCAACTTGACAAAATTAATTTTGAAGGTATAGAAGAAAAGTCTATGAAGATTGGACTTCAGGAGTCGAGGTCAAATGTAAATACAATCTGGGTCAACCACTGATTACTAGAAACAAGGAAACAAAACTCATCGCTGTTAACTTTGACCCACAGGTAGGGTAAGGATTTCAGACTGAATAAGTTTTATGGTTAGTGAATCTAGGTTAGAAATATATTTATAAAAATTTAGCATTATACATGATAGCTGCAGTGCCAATCTCTTCTACAATGTATTATTCAAAAGATCTGAAAATGATTAAAAAATCCCTAAATCACTACAGAAAAAGGATTTTTCATTGGAGATTAATAACAAAGTATTTATTATACCATTTTCTATTTCTAATTTTGTCTTTCAAACCTTTTCAGCTTGTTGCTGTATTGAGAGAAGTACGTTATTTGCGATTCATGGAAACTGAAGATGTTCCTATTCAAGCAACAGAACTTTTCAATAAGCATGATACATTCCGTTCATATGTTGCAAATCTTGATTTGACTGTGGCTTGGTACAATCATGTTCGTCAAAACGTACTGGATGTTGAATTTCCTCTTGTTTCTTCTCAGTTGGATGAAGTTGACCAAGTCTTGGCCAAAGCGGAAAAAAATCTTTCATGGAATTGTGATGGTATTTTTGATTCTAGTTTGAGAAATTTATTTTGTTAGATTATCTTGTTTTTAACTCATTCCGATTTTATGAATGATTATTTCAGTATTCAGATAAAAATAGAAAAACAAAACAAAAAACATTGAGTTATCTAAAAACGTCCAAAAGCTTTAACTACAGATAGCACCACAAGAGTAGATGGTTTGCAATATATTTTATTTAAAGCTTCACCCAAGATAAATCTAATATGCTTCAATATCCCAAAGAAAAATAATTGAGCACATACACGCTGGGAAAGTAGATATATCTGACTGCTTGTTTACATATCCATTATAGGTATTTGGGAGTACATCCAAGAAACTAGAGATAAAGTAGATGACTTACAAGTAAGAGTGCAAAAAACAAAAACTAATGTGGAACAAATTGAAGCTGTTATGAAGGTAATGTAGAAAAATAACAAATGCAACTATTTAATGTTTTAGTTCTTATTAGGTTACAAAATAACATTACTTGAAGTGGTTATTTATTTTCTTATCTTTTCTACTAGAAATGGGCTGAGACGCCTTTGTTTGAACGAAAAATTGATATCAAAGGATCACTTCTCAACTTGGATGACAGAAAAGACAGACTCGCTAAAAGATATGAATCTATTAGAGTTGATGGTGAAAAAATACACCAACTTATTCAGGTAAGTGATTCTCATTTCTGCCATGCATCTGAAAGTCCATGCATCCGAAAACAAAAATAACTGGCATAAACTTTCTGGTGTAACAAATTATTCACTCTAGGTAGGTTCTTAGGCAAAATTTCATAAAAATTCAACATGCACCTCGAGATCGTTGGTTGCAAATACAATTGCTGAACTGTGTGTTCCTTGGGATTACTAAAACCAGCAGTTCATGTTTACTTTACCAATGGTGTATGTTTGCATACTTCAACACTAGCATGTATACCATATACACTGGCTGTGCATATGGCCATCGCTGCTATAAATCATCCTGTTAACATTGGGATTTCTTTATAAGCAGGTTGCAAAGCAACATATTGCAAGGTTTTTTTCCTTATACTGTTTCAAAACAAATCCTATGTGTACATGCAGTATAACTTAACCACTCATATATTAATTTGTCAATTACAGGAAAATTTAGTGTTGTTCAGAGCAGATGCAGAATCTGAAATATGGCAAGCATATATCGGATATATTGATGATATGTTGATTGAAGGTTTCTTCAGTTGTATTTATACCTCTCTCAACTACCTTATGGACAATACAGAAGTAAGTTTAGATTACTACAAACAAATATCAATTTATTATAGTCTCGTCTATGAATTTTACTTATTAAAACATAACAGTTTTTTAAATAACTGTTCCACATTTTCAAATCTTTGGGTAATTTGTCTAAGAGAACATCATTATGGCTTCATTTTTTAGTTTTTTTTTTCAATTTTGAATTTTTGTGGCATTGCTTTGAATAATTTCTCCCAAAGAACATTCGATGTCTTTATTTTTGAGTAAGTTTATTTCAATTCTGAGTTTTTGTTAAAATGATTCGAGTAATTTATCTTAGAGAACACACTTCTGGCTTTATTTTTGAGTAAGTTCATTCCAATTCTGAGTTTTTGTGACATTGCTTCGAGTAATTTCTCTAGGAGAACATACTTACCAACAGATTTATTTTTGAATATGTTTATTCTAATTCTGAGATTTTGTAGCATTGCTTTGAGCTCATTCTGTAAAAAATACTAGTTTGTGATAAACAAAGTCCTAATCAAAGGCTATGTTTTGTCTGCACAGATGGAAGCTCTGCCGTTGTTTTCAGCTGAATTAGAACTTCAAGCTCCAGATATGGTGTTTCAACCTGCACTTGGTGAAGGAATGCTTTTAGGATTTTTGAGTATTATTGAAAGCTTGTTGGAAGATATCTACAAGATGAGTTCATTAGTACCAAGAGTGTGCAGCTCGGAATCCAATGACTATGTGGTGTGATATATTTAATTTCCCATATTTAATTTCTTTTCATAACCCACCATGGGGGTTGGGACCCCCAGTTTGAAGTACCCCGATATATAAAATAGCTTTACTTCAGGCTTTGCATTGTAACACTTTATGTCACAAATGATGAAATACTTAAATGACTACAATCATTTTTGTTTGTGATTTTTTTTTTTTTTCAGTGTTACATGTATAAATATCACATAAAATGTAGCAGTTTTTATTGAATTATCTCACAGTAAAGTATTCATCAAGTACTTTATCTTTTTCACTTTTGCTATATTTTAATGATATTTACCTTATACTATGTTTTGAATTTTAAAAACAAGTATTTAATTTCTATTACAAGGCTGATATGGAAGATATGGAGGAGCTAAATGCAATGAGGGGAGATCTTATAAATCGTGTCAGAGATGCAATGGATAAAGCAATAACTTATTCACATGAGTTTCTTGAATATTCTAATCTTTGGACTGATGATAGACAAGTAAGTTATAATAATCAGTGTTGAATGTAAATATGCAGTCACAAACATATGCAAGTTCTCCAACCCACTATGACCTGGAAATTTTACTGTTACCCACATCAAATAATTGGCTTAATTGTATTTTCAGGAATTTATGAACCAGTTTTTGACATATGGACATATCTTGACTGCAGATGAATTAGAAGCTCATGGTGACGAAGGTGTTCCAGAATCACCTCCTAGTCTTGCACAGTTCAAAGAACAGGTAACTTGAAGTCAAGGACTAATTTATGGTTTTCCAGATATATATTTAGATACAATTATTTTGTGTATTGAACTGCAAGTTTTCCGTTGCTCACTTCGTACTTCATATGCATATGTGGTCTTTTTCGCAAGGATGCTTGAACAAGACAAAGTAGACTTATAGATAAAAATAACATATTTATTTTCATGAAATAGCAAGCATATTCATAAGCTTTCACGTTACATTGCTATTTTGTTATTCCTATTTGATTTATATATATATATTTATGCTTGCGATTTAATTTTTTGTATTTTCTGACTGCCTGTTCTATTAAAAAATCATGTTTTTAGATTGACTTGTATGAAAACCTATACCAAGTTATTAGTAATGTTGAGCCAACAAAAATGTTTGATGGTTGGTTTATTATAAGTATTAAACCTTTCAAACAAGCATTGCTTAACACTGTCAAAAGATGGAGCTTCATGTTCAAAGAGGTAAGGAATCTTGTAAAGAATTATATGCTCACATGTGCAATGACTCAAAAAGTTTATTCTAACGATAAGAAAATTTGGCTGCTTATTATAATACTTTTGTTTATATTTTTATAATTACAGAATACCAATAACAGTAAGACAATAATAAGAAAGTGCCTTCAATTTTTTTTATGAAGTACCTTATTCTGGTCTTGTAATGTACGTCTAACATATAAACAAGCCTAAATATCAAGCTAAAGACTCTGCCCTATTCATCAAATTTACAGCATCTCATCAGCCATGTTGAAACCAGTTTGTCTGATCTGAAAGCATTTATCAAAGTTGCTGATTCTGGTCTTGGTAAAGATGTAGAAGAAGGAGATTACAATGGACTTGTAGAATGTATGGGACATCTGATGGCTGTCAGAGATCGTGTAGAAGCAACAGATATTATGTTTGAACCTCTGAAGCATACGATTGATTTATTGAAGGTAGGATTCAAATTTTTCAAAGAGATGAAAGCCTATTATGGTGAAGTGTGTTTTCACGCAATGAATAATTAACCAGTTCAATGTTGTCTATAATGGCAGAGTTGGCGAAGGAAGTTGTTGTAATCAATTACTGAAAACATGGAGTCCAGTAGTAGATTCAAGCATGGTCACGCATCCTGTATTAGATGACAAGAACCTGTATATCAATTATTTGATCATAATCTGTGGTACAATGGAATGTTCACAGCAATTAAAGTTAATTGCTATGTAAATATTCTAAAAAAGAATTTGATTATGATAAATCTTGTGTTCATTAGATTCCTATATACTTCAAAAATACTACTACTTGATAGCACTCACACATTAATAAATATTATTATACTCATTTATTTTGATAGTCATATGACCAAGAAATGTCAGAAGAAGTCCATCATCAACTGCAAGAACTACCTGAGCAATGGAATAATACCAAAAAACTTGCAGTGACTGTCAAACAGACTGTCACTCCATTGCAGGTAATAACAATTATATAGATTTATTAGTTTCGCAATGAAAATTAAAAAAAATTGTTTTTAGTCTATAAATAACTGAACACACATTAGCAAATAATTTCTATATGAGTTGATTAATTTATCCGAAACATTTAACGAAATATTTGGCCGACTTACCGGTACGTAAAAAGTAATTTTCTAAATAATATGTCTGCTACTTGTGATAATGTGTTCTGCACAAAGGGAAGACCATTCCAAGCAAATATATTTTTTGATTGTAAAGTTTCATTTCAAAATAGTATCAATAGGTAATGCTATTCTGGTCATACCTTTAATGGCTGATACATCTCACTAAATTGGTCTTTATTAAAATGTTATTTATTACAATGACAATAATCAATTCAATTTATTTCTAGCTTCACCCATTATGCACAAATATTAATATTTTATAAATTATTTTAGGCAAATGAAGTTTCCATCATTCGTCGCAAATGCACCAGCTTTGACGTCAAACAACATGAATTTCGTGAGAAATTTCGCAAAGAGACAACATTTCGATTCAGCTGTGGAGAACCATATGATAACATTGATCGTATGAACAGTGAGATTCAGGGATTAGAAAATGAAATGAATGCTTTACATGAATCTGCCAGTTTGTTTGAAGTCAATGTTCCTGATTATAAACAACTGAAGGTGGGTGAGAGTATTGTTTTTCTCATTGATTTTTAAATTCATCCTTTCATATTGAAGCATTTCATATGCGATTGTCTTATATGTTGTTACTTTTTATTTTTATATGAATGCGATGTATGAATAAATGTATGGATTGTCATTTGCAAGCACCTTGGGCGATCTGTTCCAAAATGTAAAATAATTTAACAAAATCATTTTTCTTAAGCATGTCTTGAAATGACGCTTTTAGCTATAAATTTTTAAATCTTTATCGACTCTGAAATAATGGTGGTGGACCATGGATTATCATATACCGTAATTTAACTTTCATAGTGCTATTAATTTCTCCCAAAATAAATTAAAATTTTATTTAATGATACATTCATATTCATTCTTGCAACAGGCTTGTCGCAGAGAAGTATCTCTCGTAAAAGAAGTATGGGATCTTGTCATACTAGTACGTACAAGTATCGATGATTGGAAAACAACATTGTGGGCTGATATCAATGTGGAACAGATGGACATCGACAGCAAACGGTTTGCTAAGGTAATGGATTCTGTAACAAATTTATACTATCAATCCTCAAAGTCTCCTCACCAAATCATTTTGGTATGACTAGTGCATGTAAAATTTATTGCTCAGATCATTTTTGTTGGTGTGCTATTTTGTTAAACAGTTGATTAGTTCAAGTAATTGTAACACTCCTCATAATTTACACACAGGACATCAGATCTTTGGACAAGGAGGCTCGTGCATGGGATGTTTTTGGTGGATTAGATGGAGATGTGAAAAATATGATTACGTCACTCAGAGCTGTTGGAGAATTACAGAATCCTGCTATTCGTGATAGACATTGGCATGAACTCATGCAGGCTGCAAAGGTGATTTTTACATTATTTTTTCTCTCAATGTAATTAAAATCAACATTAATTTTGGGTGTCCTATATTCTGTAATTCAGTTGTTCTCAACCTGTGGTACGCAGACCACTAGGGGTACGCGGAAGCTTTTCAAGTGGTACGAGAGCAGTTTGAATTATTTCAACAATTAACTTTTGAGTTGGCTAAAATATGGCAACAACGGGTTTATAGCGCTAGCAGCAGTTCTTGTCTTGAGACCGCCCTCGCCCGCTACTGCCCACTTAAAACGAAACAAGACGATGGACAAGGCCTTTCAGTCCTGACGGCAATCAACGCAAATTCTCTCGTGATTTTGCACGCAATTAATACGTTGTTACTGCATAAAATAAATACAGTGAAACTTTGCATGAAGATCTAAAATGGATGTAGTGCCACATAAAATACTACCATAGCGCGTTTCTTGTGCCATTGTTCCCCACCACAAAAAAAGGTTTTGCCGGTGGTACGCGATCAGAGTAAAAAGAACAAAAGTGGTACGCGGCCAGTAAAAGGTTGAGAACCGCTGCTGTAATTGGACCACTTTTGATCTAAACAAACTCATAAACTATTTCATATCATTTTTCAGGTTCGATTTACTATGAATGAAAAAACCACACTTGCAGATCTGTTGAAATTAAATCTACACAACTTTGAAGATGAAGTACGAGGTATTGTGGATAAAGCTGTCAAAGAAATGGGCATGGAAAAAGTAAATGAACTTCCTTATTGGAAATTTTATTGATCATAGATTTGCATCAACCTATCACAGTGTAATTTGAAATCTTCTTTCAAAAACTGAGAGAATAAAACCCATCACAACCCCCTATGCAATTAAGGTTTTGCAACCTACAGTAATTGAATTCAGGATGCAAGACCATAATTGACCACCATCTCAAAGCACCCATGTAGAAATTTTCACAAAATTTTGTTACAAATTTATCGAATATATGCTAAAAGCTGAAAACAAAACATGCATTATACAGATACTCAAAGAACTTGATACTACATGGTCTATGATGGATTTCGAATACGATGAACATCAAAGAACGCGTTCTCCTTTGATTAAAACTAATGAAGAACTTGTTGAAACTTTAGAAGACAACCAGGTAAATTAAACCAGGACATAGAAAAAGGTTGTAGTATCAAAAACGTTTTATATTTCACTTTTTACTTCCAAAGTTGGTGTATTTTTAGATTGATATGTTGTATGAAAAACCTTTGTATTGACAACTATATGGTCCTCAACAATATTTTCCTAAGCAACATATCTATTAAGGTACAACTTCAAAATCTTATGACATCAAAATACATTGCCCATTTCTTGGAAGAAGTTTCTGGATGGGTCAAAAAATTATCGACAACAGATTCTGTTCTTACTGTTTGGTTGGAAGTTCAACGTACTTGGTCACATCTTGAAAGTATTTTCATTGGTTCTGAAGATATTCGAGCACAATTGCCAGAAGATTCAAAAAGATTTGATGAGATTGATGCAGATTTCAAAGGTATTGTTTTTTGATAAGAATATGTGGAAAAGTGTTTCTTGTTTGTGTACTGTACTGATAGTTGATGTGGATCGGCTTGCTTTCTCAGATTAACATAGCAAATTGTGGTCATGTTTTTGAAATTTATTGGCATGATAATATTACAAGCACCTGAAATGTTTAATATGTAAAAATGAGCAATATAGCTGCAGTGTCAATAGCTTTAAAATATTCCATGTTTTAAATTCTATTACTATCATTCAGAAATTATGGCTGATGCTGTGAAAACACCAAATGTTGTGGAAGCTACAAACAAACCGGGTCTCTGTGAACGATTTGAAAATCTTCAATCCAAACTGACAAAATGTGAAAAAGCACTTGCAGAATATCTGGAGACAAAACGACTTGCCTTTCCAAGATTCTATTTTGTGTCTTCATCTGATTTACTTGATATTTTGTCAAATGGAAATAACCCTGTGGAGGTATGGAACATATATAATGCTATTTGTATTATGTAGTAAGCTGCTGAATATCTAACTTTGTTAATGATTAAATATTTGTTAAGGTTTCAAAACATCTTGCTAAACTATTTGACAATACAGCAAAACTAGAATTTAAAGCAGATGCAAACAATGAACCAACAAAAGAAGCAGAAGGAATGTACAGCAAAGAAGGGGAATATGTTCCGTTTGGCGATACTTGTTCATGTACTGGTCAGGTATTTGTAATTTCTTTTACAAATTCTATATCTTTGAATCAAGATAATCATCTCAAGAAGTTACTTAAACTCAGTTATTTATTTTGATAGGTTGAAATGTGGTTGAACCGTGTCATGGATGCGATGCGAGACACAGTCAGAAGTGAAATGTCTGATTCCGTTGTTACTTATGAAGAGAAAGCAAGAGATCAGTGGTTATTTGATTACCCTGCTCAAGTTGCTTTAGCTGTTACCCAGATCTGGTGGACAACTGAGGTAATTACAGTAATTAAAGTTTATACTTTGGTTACAAAATATATAGATAAATAATCTTGATAAAAAAGTAATGTCAGAACCATAACAGCAAGATATAGCAAAAAAAAACAGAACCTAAGTCTCTTGAAACATAACTTTTGTGAGAAGCGTCGTATATCACTGAAACTTTTGGGTATAATCACAAAAAAGGGAATTTCAAGTTTTAAAAAAATTTTCTTCATTTCTGTTGAAGTAATTAAAAAAGTTTTTTTGGGGTCACTCTGTCAAAACATACGTTTCGCTTTTGGTCTATCAGCTGTCAATATTCAATTCAATACTTCAATTCAACTTAGCATGAATTTTGTACTGTTATACATACTTCTACTTTCCACAACAATGCAAATATCTAGACATATATGGACAGTTTCACATCATTTTAATTAAGTAATCTCATATGACTGATTATTCATAGGTTGGAATTGCATTCTCTCGACTTGAAGAAGGTTATGAAAATGCAATGAAAGATTATTCGAAAAAACAAATTCAACAATTGAATACATTAATCAATCTGTTAATTGGTAATCTTACACCAGGAGAACGGCAAAAAATTATGACAATTTGTACCATCGATGTCCATGCAAGAGATGTGGTGACTAAACTTATCTTACAGAAGGTGAATGTTATTTAAAATGATCACTGTAATGTTTTTGATCCATCATGCTGCACCTGATTTTTTTCGACTCCCCCTGCCTTGGAAAGGATATCGACTATCAATATTTCATATATCACATATCAATTATTATGTTATATATCAATTATAATTACAGCCTGTTATTTGGTTGTCTGTCCAAATCAAGAATAATATAATGGTAGTTGGTATGCCAAATCAATTTTCCCCAATTAATGTATCTGGCAAAGTAGTTGATACTTAACTTCTATCTTTCATTTAAAGTCATCATAAGTGTATTTTTTAGCACATGATATATACCTTTGGTCACCACTTGAACAATCTCACTTGCTTATAAAATAACAATAGAAATTGATATTTGCGGAGACGAATGACGACACATTCATTTGTTAAATTTTCACTTTTTCAGTTATCAAAAGCTATTACATTGCTTTGTTAATTGATTTTATAGATTGACAGTGCTGCTGAATTCATTTGGCAATCACAACTTCGACATAGATGGTGTGACAAAACAAATCATTGTTATGCCAACATTTGTGATGCTCAGTTTCTTTATTCATACGAATATCTAGGAAATACACCTCGACTTGTCATCACACCATTGACTGATAGGTAAGTATTACAGATGGGCAAAACATAAGGTTCAAACTGTTCTATTTTATACCGTCATATGGTTAAATTTCAGATGCTATATCACATTGACACAATCTTTGCATTTAATTATGGGTGGTGCACCTGCTGGTCCTGCTGGTACAGGGAAAACTGAAACGACTAAAGATTTGGGAAGAGCACTTGGCATTATGGTTTATGTGTTCAACTGCTCTGAACAAATGGACTACAAATCTGTTGGTAATATCTACAAAGGACTTGCACAAACTGGTGCCTGGGGATGTTTTGATGAATTTAACAGGATTTCTGTTGAAGTGCTTTCCGTAGTTGCAGTACAGGTATGCTTGAAAACTTTATACATTATTTGAAAATATTTTTAATCTATGTAACCAACGTCTTAAGGTGGTAGTAAATCACAACTTCTGGTTGATTTTTTTGTAATGAAGTCCAAAAACAAACTTTGACTCTTGCTAGATGCAGAGTACTGTTTGATTCCTTCAGAAACCACATGTCGGTAGTTCAGGAAAAAATAAACCACTGTCTTTTGTATGTGTGTATTATATATGTGTGAAATAATGACACAAACAACATCAGTATTTTTTGATGTCCAAAGCAGGCAAAAATGTTGGCTAGATTTCAGAAATCTATTTTGTCAGATGAAAGTAAAACTTATTTATTAAATGGTATTTTGTTGACGTTGCTTGCATCTGCTTTAATCTATTAATAACTAAACATTCTAGCATTTCATATTAATCACAATAATGTGTACCATGTATTCAAAAGAAAGGCTATTAGGTGCACAATCAAAGCAAAAAATGCTTTTATTGTTCATAGGTAAAATCAATCCAAGATGCAATCAGAGACAAGAAGAAGAGATTTATTTTCCAAGGTGAAGATATTTCTCTCATCCCTACTGTCGGTATTTTCATCACAATGAATCCAGGTTACGCTGGAAGGACTGAATTGCCTGAAAATTTGAAGGTATATTAAGTGTATTTTATTTTGCCCAAACTCGATTGTGGACAGTTTGCACTAGCCTATTAATTTTTCAGTGTGAGGCTTTTCCTATTTATTATATCCGAAACATTTACATGGTTTGATATTTTTCATCTAAAGGAAAGTCACCAAATCATCTGAAACGCCTTTATGATACGAGATATGATAGGCTGTGTGAAACTTTTTTAGTTTTTTATTGTTGTGAATTCAACTGCTATAGTTCAAAAGTGATATCAATTTTCATTTTTTTAAACTTTGTTCTTTCTATTTTGAGTTGATGATAATACAGGAGTGTAGTCTTAAGAGTATAAATAACTGAATATGTTTAGATTTAAAAATAAAATCATTTTTAAGATGTATTTCCCATTACATATTTGTAACACTCAATTTATATTTTTTTGGTACGTTTTCACAGGCATTGTTTAGACCTTGTGCTATGGTTGTTCCTGATTTTGAGCTGATTTGTGAAATTATGTTGGTCGCTGAAGGTTTTCTTGAGGCTCGAATCCTTGCAAAGAAGTTCATCACTTTGTACACATTGTGTAAGGAATTGTTATCTAAACAAGATCACTATGATTGGGGATTAAGAGCTATCAAATCTGTCCTTGTGGTTGCTGGTTCTTTGAAGAGAGGAGACAAAGGAAGACCTGAAGATCAGGTATTCATCATTTTTATATTTAATTTAAGGTTATTACATTGTCAATGCCTGATGGGGAGTGATAAAGTTTGATAAATTTCATTGGAAATTAACAAAAAAAAGGTTTAGTACTAAATGACAATATACGAGAAAAGTTTTGTATTAATAATCACTGTTTTATTTTAGGTTTTAATGAGAGCTCTTCGAGATTTCAACATTCCAAAAATTGTAACTGATGACATGCCTGTATTTATGGGTCTCATCGGTGACTTGTTCCCAGCACTTGATGTCCCCAGGAAACGTGATTTAGAACTTGAGAAGATGTGTCGACAATCAGTACAGGTGGGTAGAAGCATAATCTACTCTACTTTCATGATCAAGTTGTTACCAACAGCGTTTTACTAAAAATGTTTATCAGAATGTATAGTGGAAACAAATGGTAAATCAAGTAAATATTGGACTTAATAAACCTATTGTGTGCAAGATTGAGTCACTAGCGTCATAGTCACAAAGATATCTATAAAGTATATTTTATGAAATAAATTGAAATTAAGAATCAATTGAAACATATTTTCAAACAGGATCTCAAACTTCAAGCAGAAGATAACTTTGTACTTAAACTAGTCCAACTTGAAGAACTGCTATTTGTGAGGCACTCTGTCTTTATTATAGGAAACGCTGGCACAGGAAAAACACAGGCAGGATAATATTTAAAATAATAATATTTAGTAACCTTATTATATCTTATGACAAACTGGTAAAGTGGACCATGGCAATGTTAGTCATAGTTTACAACTCATCTTGTAACATCCCACAATACAACCAGCTTCTGAAATTATGACACACAAGATTGAACTTATTGTAGATAAAATTATATTTCTAATGATTTCCAAGAAGTATTTTCAAAATATTCAAAGCTTTTACTTCTCGTGACTTTCTGTTCGTATCTCTTGTTAACCAATCTAAAATGAATATTTACTAAAGTTTAGTAAGATTAGTTTTATCACTAGGTTTTAAAGTCATTGAACAAGTGCTATCAAAATCTGAAAAAGCGTCCAGTCTGGGTTGATCTTAATCCTAAAGCTGTAACAAATGATGAACTGTTTGGTATCATCAATCCTGCTACTCGTGAATGGAAAGATGGATTATTTTCCACCATAATGAGAGATTTGTCCAATATTACTCATGATGGACCAAAATGGATTGTTTTGGATGGTGACATTGATCCCATGTGGATTGAATCTTTGAATACTGTGATGGATGACAATAAGGTATCGAAGTAAAGATTGACGTTATAGTTTTTATATTAGTAAAATGAAAAACAGCTCATATCGTGTACTTGTGGAAAAGGAATATTAAAATGAGATGTTACCTACTTACATGACTGTCTTCTGCCTTAAATTATGTTATAGTTTGTGGTATTGCTGTATATTTAGGAGAGAAGGTTGTAAGACATTCACTTGTTGACTGGATTTGGAGAAGTGAAATGAATGATGCTTTGAATAGTTAATATACACTTAGTTTGATATAACAGGTTTTCATAATTCATATTGTGATTGCAATATATACAAATATATAGATCTAAATCTTCACTACATTTGCCTTTCTGTGAAATATGATTTGAGGGCATAAGAGCCATGAGGGCACTGCTTTGTATACGTCATATCACTTTGCTCACATTGATAGGAATATTTTATATGAAGATAAACACAAACTACTCATTTGAAATAAATATTAGTGTAACATACTATAGTAATATAACATTATATACTATTTGCCCCAGGTGCTGACACTTGCTAGCAATGAAAGAATTCCCTTGTCACCCTCCATGAGATTAGTGTTTGAAATCAGCCATCTTCGAACTGCAACACCGGCTACTGTCAGTAGAGCTGGAATTTTATATCTGAATCCTGCTGATCTCGGATGGAATCCAGTGGTATGTTTATTATTTGAGTTACTCCTATTGCCATTGATTGAATTATTTTTCCACCTTTTATGTACATTTATTGATTCTGTCTATTTGCTTGTTATCTAAGCTTTTATTTGTTCAAATTTTGGATTGTCAGATTAGTGGTAGTGCATCTTCCTTAATCATATTGAGTTATCAATTATCAAGATATCTCAATAGCTCTGAAAATGGATTTTATATGGAGTAAGGCAGTGGTTCTCAAACTTTTTTGCTCATGACGCACTAAGCAAATAAAAAAGTTTTGCGACACTGTACTAAATTTACTTATACTATTTTGGGACATAAAAAAATAAAGTCAGCTTCAAACAAATTTTTTCGCAAATGTTAATGCGCTGTTGTGCCTGTTTAAAGGAAACAATTGAAACGAGGTTTCCTCGCTCCCTTTTTTGCTTTTAATTTTATTCAGAGCTGAAAATTTGTGCTCACAGAGCCATGGAGATGCAAATGGCTAGATTATTTTGATGGCTTTCGCAATAGATACTTAATAAGCTTGCCCGTTGCATGCATGCCCGTGTGTAATACGAATAGCTTATTCTCTAAAATTCCAAAAAGCTCTTGCGGCATACCTGAGAATCTCTTTATCATCTAGGTAACATCATGGATCGACAAACGTGAAGTCCAATCTGAAAAGGCAAATCTGACTATTTTGTTTGACAAATATATCCCTGCTTGTCTGGAAACAGTTCGAACAAGATTCAAGACGATTACACCTATTCCTGAATGTGCCAAGATGATGGTATGATTTATTTGAAAAATTGTTAAGTGGTTTGCAACCATTTTTATCAAAGAGCTGAATTTTTATATTTGGAATAAATATTTTCTTATGTTTCAAACAACATCACACAATCTGGTTTATGTTTCATCTCATTTTTAGATGCTTTGCTATCTGCTAGAAGTACTTTTGACTCCAGAAAATACACCTCCTGACTGTCCTAAAGAACTGTATGAATTATATTTTGTGTTTGCATGCATCTGGGCCTTTGGTGGTGCTCTGTTCCAAGATCAACTTGTGGATTATAGGTTAGAAAATATTTTTAATGCTAATTGCATTTTTAAAAAGTAAAAATCTTGTTCCGCATAATACTAATCTGCTTACAAACGAATTTTATATAGGTTTGTCATATAGAGTGAATCAATTTGGTTCGAATAATATATTTTGGTGTTTAGTTAATTCAACTAAAAAAGAATGTTTTTCAGCAAGAGCTTCACTCTGACTTTATTTCTACTTATAGAGTTGAATTCAGTAAATGGTGGAGCACAGAGTTCAAGACCGTCAAGTTTCCGAGTCATGGAACAGTATTTGATTACTGCATTGATCCTGAAACTAAAAAGTTTGTGCCATGGTCTGACAGTGTACCTGGCTTTGAACTGGATCCTGATATGCCCCTACAGGTTGGTTGACATTATATTGAAGGATATTTCTCCATATACATGAAGTTTTTTTGTATCTTGTTGGAGCTTTATTTTTAACTAATCTGCAGCTTACTTCGAAATACCACTTACACTAGGAGTTAATAAACCCGGACCTTTGGCCTAGGATACCCATTTGCTTCTTGCTTCGGTATAGCTCAATCTGCAACTAGTTCCGTTGCGTTTCAATAGTTTTTCAAATAAAAATTTTTTAACGAACTATGGTTGGACACTTATGATTATCAGCAACAGATCAAATTGATTCTTTCGTTTAGGCTTGTATGGTTCCAACCACAGAAACTAGGCGTATTCGATATTTTATGGATTTATTGATGGAGAAGAGACGTCCAGTGATGCTTGTTGGTAATGCTGGATCTGGTAAAACTGTCTTGGTACAGGCAAAGCTTGGTGCATTACCAGAAGATTATATGTTTGCTAATGTACCATTTAACTTCTACACAACATCACTTATGCTTCAAGGTGTTCTGGAAAAACCGCTTGAAAAGAAAGCAGGAAGAAATTTTGGACCTCCTGGGTCAAAGAGGTATAACTTTTTCTAAACTAATAATTCAATACGAGAATTATGTATGCAATAAAATTCTTTTTTTTTTCATCAATAGATTGATATATTTCATTGATGATTTGAACATGCCTGAAGTTGATATGTATGGAACAGTACAGCCTCACACTCTTATCAGGTTTGGTTATTAGAAATTTCTAATATAATTTTTGAGGTTGAGGACACATGTATTTAAAAGATTAATAGCCAAGATGGTAGTCCATCATTTTGAAAATAGGAACAAATGGGTAATCTAGTTGGGATACTCAAATATTCTAAGTAGGGAATGAAGAATTTTCGTCTTGAAATTTGCACTGGTTTCAGTCTCTAAGAATTTTTATTGTAAATTCCATCCCATATATACTTTTTCCAGACATGCCAGAGATATGCCACTTATACTGTATCAGGATTCTATCTACTAATATTTCTTTAATAAGGATACTCTTAGTCACTTGTGACTTTTTTGTCTGTATCCTTGATTTGGGCAAATTGGCATAACGAAATCTCATGTTCTTTAAGTATTCATTTTAACAAGTAATCATGTTTTTATACTACAATATAACAGGCAACATATGGATCACAGTCATTGGTATGATCGAAACAAACTAATACTGAAAGACATCAACAATGTTCAATATGTTGCTTGTATGAATCCAACAGCAGGGTCATTCACGATTAACCCTCGACTTCAAAGACATTTCTCTGTGTTTGCCGTCAGCTTTCCGGGACAGGTTTGATACTTTTGAAAAATTTCTGTAAAATCTTTCTAACAGTGACTAATTTAGCTGTTTGAGGGCCTTGACTCAAAAAGGCAAAACCTGGAAAAGCTCTTTAGAGAAAATAAGAAAAACTTTTAAACTTTTGAAACTTTTTTTAAAATATTTGGTTAATATTGCTTCAAGCAATGATCAGATACTAGAAAGGCATTGAAATTGTTGATAGTGATTTTTTGTAACAAGAGGCGAAATTTTATGGAAATATCCAACAAATTCAAATATTCACTTTATTACATCATGACACAGTGTCTAATTATGCTTTTGTTAGACCTTTTATCGCTTTTGCTTGAAAACCTTGATCGAGCCCTTATTATCCACAAAATATTATATAGTTGTCCACCATTGTTTGGGTTGATTATTCATATTGCAATTCTTATGTCAAACCTGGATTGAGAAAATTTTTTTTATACCTTCGAACCCTTTTATTTGGCCACTCTTTGTATCCCAGACATATTGCGATAAAAGTGCATATATCAAGTTACCTTTGTACCAGAAAGAAAACAGAACATTTTGTCCTTTGACAAGAAATTTATTTTTAAATTAAATCAGCTATAAGAAATATGGACTGATTGACTTGAAGAGCAACTATTTTGTCGCAATATTTTTAAATACAATTTTTTTCAAAATTTTGTTATTTGTCTTTTTGCCCTAAGCTTTCCGCTCGGCTTCTATGGCTTTTAATCATTCATGTTTTCCACATTCAGGATGCACTTCAAACAATCTATACCAGTATTTTGACTCAACATTTACAAATTGGTGGATTCCCAGCAGCAGTACAAAAAGTTGCTTCTACAGTATCACAAGCAGCACTTGCACTGCATGCTAAAATCAGCAGTTCTTTCCTTCCTACCGCTATCAAGTTTCATTATATATTCAACTTACGTGACCTCTCAAATATTTTTCAAGTAAGTTTAATTGAATTGTGTATTTAATATAGGTTAAACCTTGCTCCTGGCATTTTTATTTTCCTGATATGGTATTCTTTACTACTTAGAAATTGAAACCTTATGTCTTCTGATGTTGATTTGATAGTGTTTACATTGGGTTATCGGTAATTCATTTTTGGTTTTGATATTTCGGTTGTCTTGCATCCTTACATAAGCTGGTCATTTCAGCTGCTGGAAAAAATCTAATGGGATCATTATTTTCTAACTACGGTAATATATATATTAAATAATAACATATAACTTATTATTTTACCAAACTTACATTAACAAACTTACAGGGAATCCTGTTTTCAACACCTGATTGCATCAAGACTGTCCCAGATTTGGTCAGAATATGGTTACATGAAGCATCTCGTGTTTACGGTGACAAATTTATTGATGAAAAAGTAATGTTATTTGATTGTAAATAATTAATTAGTCACAATTATGTGTATCATTATGATTTCTTCAATGCATTATTGGCTTCATACTCAGGATATCCAAAATTTCTCGAAATTGAAGATTGACTTTGCAAAGAAATTCTTTGATGACATTCCTGAAGAGGTGGTTGCTGCTGATCCTCTAATTTATTGTCATTTTGCAACTGGAATTGGAGAACCTAAATATATGCCGGTAAGTTGTATACTTTTTAGATTTTTCTCCTACCTGAACTTTTTGCGTACACGAAAGTTTAGGTATGTTTCATCAAATCAATCAATCTGTGAAGTGTAGAGATTTAATACTTGTCAATATTAACTGAAGCATTAAATCATTAAAAACAAAATCAGATGATTAAATTACATTTGATAAAGCTTTGTATAAATTAATTTGGTTTCAGCTGTTTACAAGAGTGGCTCACAGTATTTAAAGATTTGTTCACATGCACATATGATACTTTGTACTAGGGCTGTTTACAATTCGCAGCATGACTTCCATGATAAATATAGTCTAACTAAAGCATTTTATCGAGTATACAAAACATGTAGTATCTAATTGCTCCATAGGTTTACAAATGAAAATTCAAAGACTTTTATGTTTTGTTTTCTAGGTTCCTGGGTGGCAAGTGCTTCAAAAATTACTGGAAGAAGGACTGGAAAGTTATAATGAGGTCAATGCTGTAATGAATCTCGTACTTTTCGAGGATGCTATGTCTCATGTCTGTCGTATTAATAGAATCCTTGAGTCACCTCGAGGAAATGCTCTTTTAGTTGGTGTTGGTGGGTCAGGAAAACAAAGTTTGTCTCGCCTAGCTGCTTTTATCAGTGGACTCGATGTGTTCCAAATCACCTTGAGAAAAGGTTATGGAATAGCGGACTTGAAACTGGACTTGGCAAATCTGTATATTAAAGCTGGATTGAAGAATATTCCAACTATGTTTTTATTGACTGATGCCCAGGTGATGCATACAGATACATGTTTCATAGATGTTAGAATAAGCTCATTCACATAGATTAAAAGAATATGCACAACACTAGTATATTCCAGTGCTCAATGAACAATATCATATTTATGATGTACATATTTATCCCGGGGGAAGGAGAAAGCCGGCAAGTCGACTTAATCATATGGAGAACCATGGTCTCTCGTCCAGTTACCTGTCCATGGGGGGTATGGGATTAGTTGGCCAGTTATTTGTTTTCAGATGCATGGACATCATTTTGGCCGTTCGTTTCTGATGTCTTCATTTGATATGCCATTGGTACATTCAAAACTGCTGTCCCTTTCTGCACATATTAAAGGTTGTTATTAAACATAAAAAAGAAAAAAAATATTGTAGACTGATTGTTTTATTTGACTCATTTTTAGGTTCCAGATGAGAAGTTCCTGGTTTTGGTGAATGATTTGTTGGCATCTGGTGAAATTCCTGAATTACTTCCTGATGATGAAATTGAAAACATTATAAGTGGAATGAGAAATGAAGTCAAGGGAGCAGGGTTAGAAGATACTAGAGAAAATTGCTGGAAATTTTTCATAGAAAGAGTCAGACGTCAACTGAAAGTAAAACTAAAGTGTTTTTTGGTTTAGTATTACTATAAATTGTATTATATGCACAAAAAAAGTAATATAACTTTTGATTCTAGGTTGTTCTATGCTTTTCACCTGTCGGTACTACTCTTCGAGTTCGTAGCCGTAAGTTTCCTGCAGTTGTCAATTGTACACAAATCGATTGGTTCCATGAATGGCCACAAGAAGCTTTACAATCTGTCAGTCTTACATTTTTACAGGTGAATACTGACTATTGATGGATGTTTTTTCAATTGTGTGTATATGGTTGTGTAATATAAAATGAAGATGCTTACTATATAATTTCTTATTATCTTGCATGAAAATACTGGTCAAACTTGATAAATATGAAACATTGCATAGAAAAAGTTAACAATCAACTTACCCGATGATTATAAATCTAAATGTAATATATGTAATAATAATTTCTGTGCGTGGTTATAACCAGGTTTATTCCCAATTTAGATGAATGACATGCATGCCGTATGGGAATATCATGAAATATAATAATTTGAAAACCATTAAATAGAAATGATTCAAAAAGCAATAAAAAAACACACTCTGCTGGGTTTCAGATGTCTACGAAGACCAGCTTCTTCAACTTAATATGATGAATATATAGTAGCATAATTTATGTCTGTGTTGTCAGTGCATGTTTTTTTAAGTAAACATTGTCCACTATGATAGGTGGATTCTCATTATTTCAATCTTGATTTTTCTTTTTTTTTGCAGGACATTGAAGGAATTGAAAATGACATCAAACCGTCTATTAGTGATTTTATGTCATTTGTACATACAAGTGTCAATGAAATGGGAAAACTTTATCTTGCAAATGACAGGTAATGTATCAAATCATTCACAGAGTTTTGTTTGAACAAACATACAGATAATTTTACCACCTTTCCCTTCTGCAGGAGATACAATTACACCACACCTAAGAGTTTCCTTGAGCAGATCAAACTGTATCAGAGCATACTTGCAATGAAACGCAAGGAACTACATGCTAAGATGGAGCGTTTGGAGAATGGTTTGACAAAACTACAAAGCACAGCATCACAGGTACACTGATCTTTGTGTACAATTTGATATTATTTTATCATTTAGGTTCATCTTTTAAAAAGGTTTTCATATGAGAAAATGAACCAAGCTTACCAATGAAAGTCATTTCATATTCTATGAAATCTTAGTTTTGTACAAATTTATGAATTCAAATTCTATATATAACTAGTAATAATGATTATGATGTTGGAATTTGGTATTTTTTCTTTCCTTTTGTAAAATATAATGGTATAAAGACTCAATTTTATGCTCGATTTTTCCTCCAGGTCGATGATTTGAAAGCAAAATTAGCTTCTCAGGAAGTAGAACTGAAACAGAAGAATGAAGATGCAGATAAGCTCATTTTAAAAGTTGGAGTAGAAACTGAGAAGGTACATAAGAATATCTACTTCTTACATCTCTTTTAATAAACAGATTTATCATGTGTGCGAAAACTAATATATAATTAAAGGGAATGTAACATGATCTTAAAAATATGAAATTGAAAACTATCAGTTTTGATTCCTGTGAAAATTTTTGCATGTTAATCTCGTAATTTTATATAATTTATAAAAAGGGTAAGATGACACAATGTTGGAACATTTAGTTGATGAAAAAATCAGATTTACAGAGTTTTTGATGTTATTTTTGATATAGCAGTAGTGTTTATATAATTCCTTTATATAGGTGAGTAAAGAAAAAGCTATTGCTGACGGTGAAGAAAAGAAAGTTGCAGTTATTGCCAAAGAAGTAGGAGAATTTCAGCGTTCTTGCGAACAAGATCTATTGAAGGCAGAACCTGCTCTTCTTGCTGCCCAAGATGCTCTAAATACTCTGAATAAGGTTGGTTTTTTAGGCTTCGATTGATTTGATTTGATTTTGATTTTATTTTTGTTGTTCTCATCTGCAATAAGTGAATGGTAGTCAATTAGTTAATTGGCAGGTTACACAAAGAAAATTTAGGCTCAATTAACATGTTTTCATGAAATTAAAACAGGGTTTATATTAATTTTCACTGTATACTATGACACTAGACCTCATTTTTTAACAATGTCTCATCTTTTTATATATCAAAATGAAAATTACGAAATAGAGAAGTACAATATTTCCTAATATTATAAAATGTAAAGACAAGTCTTGATTTATTTACAATTGACATGATCTATATTTAAAAACTAAGATTAATCTTTTAAAAATATCATCATTTTCATATGAAACTTCCCTGGCCTCTAATGGTTCAGTGGATTTTTTATTCAACTGTGCAACTTCATTCAATTCTCAACTACTCTTTCTGTTGAAGATTACCCATTCCCATCCACCTCAGCTGTATTGGTAACACAGATGCTTGTAATTTTGTTCCATGTATTTGCTAATGTGATTTGAATGTTTATCCAAAAATAAAGCTATCATTCTATCATGGTCGTTGTCACAGTGTGCTACTTTAAACTAAACCCAATTTTTTATGTCACCGTGATATCACACTTTCAACTAGACCTTATTTTAAGGTTATGTCATATCTTTTATTCAAAGTTATCATGAAAGTGTATGTCTTATTTTTGGTGAAACACCATAGTTGGCCGATGCCATACATTATGTCAATGTTGGCAAAGAACTTTTAACTGCCATTGTTGATATCTTCTTTTGAAAGTTCACCAGATAAAAACTAAGTTTGGTAAAAGTACTATATGATTCATGTCTAATACATCGTAATTCCTTTTTAGAACAATCTAACGGAATTGAAGTCTTTTGGATCACCCCCCGCCGCTGTCATTAATGTAGCTGCCGGCGTAATGGTCCTACTTGCTCCCGGAGGAAAGATTCCCAAGGATAGAGGTTGGAAAGCTTCAAAGAATATGATGGCAAAGGTAGGATTTTACTCTGAATCTAGGCTATTTTGGAGTTGAATTTTTGCTTTATGAATTTCAGCTATTAGATAATAAATACGCTTTAATTGCGCCTAGTGAAAATCTTACAAACTTATTGTTGTAGTTAAAAAGTTATATACTGTAATTTGCTGTACTGTTGCCCTAAAAATACCTGATAATAAAGTTGGATTTTGGAGTTCTTTTTATTGAATTTTATGAATATTCATCTTATTTTTATTCAATAGGTTGATGCTTTCCTTGATCAACTTTTAAATTATGATAAAGAGAATATCCATGAAAATAATCTCAAAGCAATCAAACCATATCTGGCAGATCCTGAATTTGATCCAGATTTCATTCGAGCAAAGGTTAGTATGAATGATGTTATTGGTATATTCATGAGCACATATTACAAAATGCATCTCCTTTGAACTTAATATGTAATTTATTGATAACAATACCATTATTGAACCTCATTAAACTGTATTTTATAACTAGAAGTGCCATTGCAAATTGATATATTGTTAGGCTTCCTTCAACATTTCTTATTTTTTGTGCTGATCCATTACATAAACGTGTCTTTATGTGATTATTTTCAAAAATCGTATATAAAAATTGTCTATAGACTTTATTAAAATCTTAGTAAATGCTTATTTGGTTTGGGGTCGAGTGGAGTTTATAGCAATTTATGATGTCGATTCCCCCCCCCCCCCCCTTTTGATAATCTTGGCTTGCACCCCTGACTCTACCTTAAAATAGGAGTTACTCTATGTATGATTTTGATTTTACTACAAATCGAGAATCTCATGAATGTGTTCCATGTCAATGCTGCATAAAAATTCTATCACTTCACTAAATGTAGTTAAACTTGATTGAGATTGATAGCAAAACTGAAAACCTTGAATTATAGATACTACTTTTTTCCCACAAATTACCATATAATATTTAGGCGTAACTCCACTTCCATTTAGTCTAATGCTGCTGCTGGACTGTGTGCTTGGGCAATCAATATTGTGAGGTTTTATGAAGTTTATTGTGATGTAGAACCAAAACGTCAGGCTCTCGCTAAAGCAAATGCTGATCTCTCGGCAGCACAAGATCGTCTTACATCTATCAAAGCGAAGATCAAGGTAGGTCAGCTTTTCGGCATGAGTTAAGATTTTTTAGGGATGTAACTTTATTACTGTTACTATAATCATGTAACAAACTTTGCTAGTTTGTAAACTCCTAGACCAGTTTATTAGAAGTACTGTTTGTCTCAGCTTTCTGCCCTCATTTACTCCAACTCAAAGTTTTTACTTGCCAAAGAAATTCCTATGTTAAAAGATTTTTTTCAAACATTTCAACTTTATGAAATTTTCCTCTGCTCAGTCGCCATCCTGACAGTCTTAACTTGCAGTGATTCAAATTCCACATCAGGCGCTATTTGCTGGCCCCTAGTCACAAGATTTGTCAGTGGTCAAAAGCATTTATTCGAACTTCATTATAACTTCAATGAGAGGAATTCTATATTGAAGCGCATATTACTTTCTAGGAACTTGATGACAACTTAGCAGGCCTTACAGCCCAATTTGAAAAGGCTACAGCAGACAAATTGAAATGTCAACAAGAAGCAGAAGCAACCCAACTTACTATATCACTAGCTAACAGATTGGTTGGAGGTTTAGCATCTGAAAATGTCCGTTGGGCCGAATCAGTAAATGAATTCAAGAAACAGGTAAGTTGGAATACAGATTTTTTTGAAAGCTCGGTCTTTTTCTCATTTTGCTTGACTGCTATCTAAATTCTAAATCAAAGCAGGTGGATTTTGACAGCAACTGCTCCTATTTAATTGATATTTTGTGAATGCGTTTTATATTGAGTATATGCATTGTTTTGAATACTATTACCGGTAGATAGAATTATAACAGAAGAAATGTTTTCTGTAGATTTAGACGCTGAAGAAATTATGCATACGGGCTTTAAGAACGCTATTTAAAACATGACAAATAAACTACAGGAAGCTGTGTTGTTTTCAGAACTATTGCAATTTGAATGTTTTTAATTGCACTCTATTATTTTACTTATATTTTAGGATTTAACACTGAGTGGAGATGTTCTGCTAATCACAGCATTTGTTTCATATGTTGGATATTTTACGAAAGTATATAGAACTGATCTAATGGATAGCTGGTTGAAATTCTTGAAAGAACAGAAGGTGAACGGGTTGTAGCATTTGTATATTTTTTCCAAGATTTACATTTACATCAGTGTTTGTTTGATAAATCGGGTTGCATGTTAGTTTAGTTATTTTGTGAAAAGCGGGGCCATCCAAGAAAGTCTGAGAAATGAGATTGATTGGCATACATCCTGTCACCGCAGGTTTATACATATTTTAGAGTTACAACCATTCCATAAAATCATCTTCAAATCCTGTTATACATACTCTGAATTAAAACTTAATTCTTAGTAGTAACAATACACATATTTGTGTACTTGAAAAAAATTTAGAAACTTTTTCCAGTAACATATACTGTATTTAAGTAGCTACTCATTTATACAAAGCCTAATAAAATACACTCACTTTTATAAGATTCATTCTCAGATCTTCAATTCTCGGAAACTCTATCATTGAACGTTCGCACATCAGTAAAATTTTTTTTTTCTTTATAGGTTCCGATTCCAACTACAGAAGGTCTTGATCCATTATTAATGTTGACTGATGACACAGATATTGCAGCATGGAATAATCAGGGATTACCGTCAGATAGAATGTCGACAGAAAATGCAACTATATTGAGTAATTGTGAAAGATGGCCACTTATCATTGACCCACAGTTGCAAGGCATTAAATGGATCAAAAATAAATATGAGAATTTGAAGATCGTAAGACTGGGTCAAAGAGGGTATTTTATCTTATGAAAAATTCTGATTACACAACCCATAATTAGTACAAATACTAATATTTTATTCTTCTTGCAGATATCTTGATGTAATAGAGAATGGAGTATCAACAGGTGATGTTGTACTTATTGAAAACGTTGAAGAAAGTGTGGATCCTGTTCTTGATCCATTACTTGGAAGAAATACTATTAAGAAAGGAAGGTGAGGATTTTTATAGTCATTTCTTTGTCATTTTGACTGAAATAATCTAGATGACCTTCAAATATGATTTCAACAACAAAAATCAAAGAAAGCTCTTATATATGGCCTCTATTAATATTGTGAGATTACGAACCACTTGAAACGCATTTATTTGAATCAACATACGTTAAAACTCTGTCTGTAGTCACAATATGTATTAATGCTAAATGAATAAATTATAGATATATCAAGATTGGTGACAAAGAAGTAGAATATCATCCACAATTCAGACTGGTGTTACATACAAAACTTGCCAATCCACATTATCAGGTACAGATTATATGTTTAATACAGTGATTACTTACTAATTAGTATACTTTATACTAAAAATTACATCGACTGTAATTGATTTTAGCCTGAAATGCAAGCCCAGTGCACTCTCATTAACTTCACTGTAACAAGAGATGGCTTGGAAGACCAGTTACTCGCTGAAGTAGTTAAATGTGAGAGACCAGATTTAGAACAAGTCAAGGTTTGTTATCTTTATTTACAGTCACGTGTTCTTTGATAAATATCCTCGTTAAGGTATTGTTATAAAATTGAAGATAATTACCAGAACAGATCTATATAATAAGACAATGTGTAAGTTGAAAATGTATGTTTTACTGATTCTTTTAAACAAGTGCTGAATGATAAATAAGATATACTATCAGTCAGTACTCCTGACATATATTCAGACAATCATTTTCGAGAGATAACTTCAAGGGAAGTGTTTCAACTTTAAAAGTTGTGCATAGTAGATATTTTTAGTGACCAATTCCAATGATGTTATCAAAATATGGCTTGAGGAAAGTTCAAATTTGCTTCAGGCTATATCTTGGCTTATTTTCATAGGATATTAGAGAAGAAGTTAACCTAAAATATTGGTAATTCGAATGAGACTACTAGCTATAAGATTTTTGTTTATTGATTAGTGTAGATTTAGCATACAATACTGCATTATTTATATTCAGGCACAACTCACCAAGCAACAAAATGATTTCAAAATTACTTTGAAACAATTAGAAGACTCACTTCTGTACAGATTATCTGCTGCTTCTGGAAACTTCTTGGGAGATACAGCACTGGTTGAAAATTTGGAAATTACAAAGAAAACATGTAAAATTCTTAAAAAATATATCATTATAATCCTATATCAGTTCAGAATTGTATAAATTGTATCGCTGAATTATTTTAACAAAACCTTATTTATTTTTTTTGTTTAAATTAGCTGCTGAAATTGAAGAGAAAGTAGCAGAAGCAAAAATAACAGAAGTACAAATCAATGAAGCTCGTGAAAGTTACAGAGTTGTAGCCAGACGTGCATCTCTTCTCTACTTTATTCTGAATGAACTGAATGTTATCAACTTGATTTATCAATTCTCACTCAAGGTAATCCAGTACATTCTCTTATCGCAATTGTTCACCAGACCTTGCCACATTTTGAAAAGTAAGAAATTGTTACCTAGGTACTTCTTTTGTTTTAGATCACCCAGCATCATACTTCCTCCCCCCTCCCCTGAGCATACATTGTCAAAGTGTCTGTTACAAGCGGTTAACTTGTTTTTTATTTTTATATGTCATTTGAGCTGCTAACCAAACCAGAGTTCATTTTTTTACCTTATGATTAGCATTTTGAAAATTTTGTATTTTTAGGCATTCAATGTTGTGTTTTCTAAAGCAATTGAGCGAGCGGAGAAGTCTGATGAGTTAAAAACAAGAGTCGTTAATTTGATCGATACTGTAACATACAGTGTGTTCGTATACACAAATCGTGGATTATTCGAATCTGACAAGCTGACTTTTACATCACAAGTAGCTTTTCAGGTATTGCTAGATTTCAAATTTTATAAGATGTCGTACTCCATTATTCACAAAAATGCAATTTTTGTGTTATTCAAATGGAATCACTACTATTCAATCAGAATGATATGGGAAGAATGCTTTTAAAATCTATATGTTGTAGGTTCTACTTACAAATAATGAAATCAATCCAGTTGAACTCGATTTTCTACTGAGATTCCCAGGAAAAATGGATTCTTCATGTCCTGTGGATTTCCTGACTGCTGCTGGTTGGGCTGGAATAAAGGTAAGCAACTGTTAGCTAGGGGTTATATTTATTTGTTCGAATATTGTATCCATGGTCTTCAAAAACTGCTCAAATATTATACAGTAGCCAATTTAGTTCTTAGATAAGCTAGTAATTACAATAATATCATAGATGTGCTGTTTAATATGGTGTGAATTGATCGATGGAGAACCAAAAATTTACTAATTGGAATCCCTGTCACTCCGAAGCATTGCCATAGGCTGTTCGATAACCCAGATTTTTCTGAAATGTACTCAGAACAGATTTTTCAATGTCTACTAGACTCTAGCTCATTATATGGGTATAAATTTTCAATATTCATGAAGGTGAAGCTAGTTTTATTCATTCTATATTACAATTAAAATAATAAACACTTATATAATGTCTTGTTATAAATGTAGCGATCAATTTTATCAGGCGCTCTCTGATATGGAAGACTTTAGAAACTTGGACAGGGATGTGGAAGGATCAGCTAAACGTTGGAAAAAATTTGTTGAAAGTGAATGTCCTGAGAAAGAGAAATTTCCACAAGAATGGAAAAATAAAACTTCCCTGCAAAAATTATGCATGATGAGAGCTTTTAGACCAGACAGAATGACTTATGCTGTCAAGTACATAACTTTGTTGTATTTTTACTTACAGGGTTATATTTCTTGTTGTATTTTCGGACTGATTAGAGACTAATTTCTGATCTTAGAAATTTAATTAGATTGGGTGTCGCTGCTCGATAACCAATTCCTGGCTTCCCATTCACAGTAAAAATGTGTGTTTAATTTTATATTTTGTCAATTTCGTATGTTATTTTTTACTGGTAGGAAAAAAAAACTTGACTATGACTAAATGTAAGGAAAACTGTTTTTGAGATCATGATATTTTTGTTCAATTATTATTTTTTTTTTCAATTCTCACAGTTCGTTTCTTACTGAATTGTTTATAGTTACACTCTCATCGATTGATCGAGGTTAGATGGTTTAATAATGAAGCCACAGTCCATCAAATGGTAGTAGTTTTAAGCAGTACCCAATTAGCAATGTAATTCAATGTGCGCTATTTTGACAGAAACTTTGTGGAGGAAAAGCTCGGCACTAAATATGTAGAGAATCGATCTGTTGAGTTTTCCAAATCATATGAGGAAAGTGGACCAGAGACTCCTGTATTCTTTGTTCTCTCACCTGGTGTCGATCCCCTCAAAGATGTTGAAGCTCTTGGAAAGAAAATTGGATTCACTTTTGATATGAAGTAACCTATGTTAATCCTTGTTCACATTAAGTGCTATCTCTGGTAAATGCATTTTAAGGTTGTGTATATAGTTTGTCATTCTCTATATATTTACATACAATATTTTCAAAAATCAAGTATGAATAACTGATTGTTTTATCGTACTAAATCACAGAAATTTCCACAATGTGTCGCTTGGTCAAGGTCAGGAAGTTGTCGCTGAAAAAGCTCTCGATCTTGCTGCAAAAGAGGGACATTGGGTTATTCTACAGGTTTGTTATAATGCTTATCCTTTAATCTTTAATGCGTTATTACCTAGTTGACTAACAGAAAAGTGTTTACGCAGGTCGCAAGACACAAAATGTGTATAATTTCCCAATGATTTTCGAATAGTAAATTTTGGAATTATTTTATAGCTTGTTCTCTTTTATTTTCAAATGGTAATTCATTTCTCATATTCTACCAATTATTACAAATGTATAAAACCATAAAACCATTTTATAGAACGTACATCTTGTTGCAAAATGGTTGAACGCGCTGGAAAAGAAAATTGAACAATTCAGTGTGGGAAGTCATCCTGCTTATCGAGTGTATATATCAGCTGAACCTGCTGCTACAAGGGATGCTCATATTCTTCCTGCAGGAATCCTGGAATCATCCATCAAGATTACTAATGAACCTCCCACTGGAATGCAAGCAAATTTGCACAAATCATTTGACAACTTCACTCAGGTAATTTATTATCTATAATTGGAACTAATAGCAAAGTACTTTTGTTGTGACCTGCTTACCTATTCTATACAGGAAACACTTGAGATGTGTGCTCGAGAGATTGAATTTAAATCACTGCTTCAATCTCTTTGTTATTTCCATGCTGTTGTGTCCGAAAGAAAGAAGTTTGGTCCGCAAGGATGGAATAGGCCTTATCCATTCAATGTCGGTGATCTAACCATCTCAGTTAACGTACTTTACAATTACCTGGAAGCAAATTCAAAGGTAACTTACCGGTTATTATACTGGTTAATATGTTATTCGTAAATTTGGCTAGCTATGTTCAACAGTCACATCCGTACTTCTAGAGCAAATGTTCATCCAATTAATAATCCTCAACTCTATCCCAAAGTTACATCATACAAGGTACCGACCGTTGTTCTATAAGTACGGATGTGACTGTTGAACAATAGCTAGCCATATTTTTGAATAACATCTTTGTAAAGATAGAACTAATAACATCTTTGTAAAGATAGAACTATTCCTCCAATACAATATTATTGTCGGAGAATTCTAAACAATGTCCCCACTATTATTAACAACTCAAGCTTAAACAAAGGATTTCTCATTTACAATTTTTTTTTTTGTGTTGTTGTCCCATCCAACGTTGGTTTCTGGCAAGTTTATGTCCCGACCAAATCTCTACATGGTTTCGTGAGATTGATTGTAAAAACATATCATTTAAGCGACCCATACCCTATCTTCATCCTCTCACACGGGAACCTGGAACATGGAAGTGCCATGAACTAACTGACTATTGTACATATCGTCGTTGTGTCGTACCCCTTTGTCTTGTGTATTTTTATGAGTTTTATTTGTATAGTCTATTTCATGTCTGTTGTCCTATTATAACGCAGCAGTCCTAAACTGCTTTTATAATTGTTAGGGGGTCATGTCACATATCTGTGTCTTAGGCCCGTAAAGTCTTGAACATGTATCCCGTCTCTGTTTTACTGTTAATAATTATTATGCAGATATTGTTACATTTTTGAGGCAAATAAACATACATACATACATACATACATACAATATAATCAGTGTGGAGCCATATGCATGATAAGTGCTGCTCAACGTAATCTCAGAGGACAATGTAGGTTTGTAAATTCGCAATAGCCATACTCACTGCCAATAACAGTGAAATGAAACTAGAATCCCCAACCTTTTAACTTTCTGTTATAACCAGCCAGTGATATTTACTTTATTTTTTTTCGATTCCTATCTTGATTCAAACATAGGTACCATGGAATGATCTTCGTTATTTGTTTGGTGAAATTATGTATGGTGGACATATTACTGATGATTGGGATAGAAGACTGTGTCGAACGTATCTTGAAGTATACATGCATCCCGATCAACTTGAATCTGAATTATTTTTGGCCCCTGGGTATCCTGTACCACCCAATATGGATTATAAGGTTTGAGAAGTTTCTGATTCCAGTTTAGGTCAAAGAAATATAGAATGCAAGCCACATGGGCCTATTAAGTACTGAAGACTTGTGCTTTGCTTGTCTGCATTCTTATCTGAAGTGGTACGCAACAACAGCTTTTGGCCACAAATTTTAAACGCTATTGCCAGCTAAGGTTTGGATGACATTACATTTATCATGAAACAACTAAATAAACTAATATTTCAGGTTGCAGGACTTGTTATCTGTAGTGCTATTTTCATTTGTCTTTCCCAGGGTTACCATGAATACATTGATGATGTGTTGCCTCCAGAGAGTCCGTATTTATATGGACTTCATCCCAACGCTGAGATTGGAGTTCTTACAACAACTTCAGAAAACTTATTCCGCACTCTACTTGAAATGCAACCGAAAGATGCAGGTGGTGGAGGTGCAGGTGGAATTACAAGAGAAGAGAAGGTTTGTGAAATGATTACATTTTCAAATTTTAAACAGATGCTAGGTTGTTATCAGTTTAATAAAGATAGTTAGAAAGAACTGGAAATACTTTTCACTGTAAATGTCGAGCATAGGATGGTAATGTCGATAAGATGGCCCCGGAGTAGATTAATAGCTATATTAATAATTGGGTGCTCCAGAAGTGTGTGTACCGATACGGAGGTAAGTAATTTTGTTCGCCTACTTTACATCAAGTTGTGTAAAGGGACTGAAGCATATCGGCTGGGGGTGTATTCACTTGGCTAACACAGACAGTCCCCGAACTCGTAATAGAACTAAAAAAAGGAAAAGCGGAATAAAATTATGGCCCAACCCTAACCTACGCACACTACGGGCCCAGATTTCTTCTTGCTTAAGATCGTTTCAAAATCTTATGCTAGTTTAAGTCTTTTTGAATATGCGACGTAACTCTTGTATATCGTGACAGGTCAAAGCTCTTCTTGATGAAATCCTTGAAAAATTGCCAGAAGGCTTTAATATGTTGGAATTGATGTCAAAAGTAGAAGATCGTACCCCATATATTGTAGTCGCATTCCAGGAATGTGAGAGGATGAATACTCTTACAAGTGAAATAAGAAGATCACTGAAGGAATTGGATCTTGGTTTGAAGGTATGCTAGCTATATAAAGTGTTAGATTGTTGTACATATGGAATATGGATGGTTTGCTACATTCATGTGGTTAAGATATGTCATGTTGTAGTTTGAAAAAAATCTTTTTTTTAATGGGCCAATCAATCTCGAATATTCAGTACTAGAAGATGATAGATGTCACTAGATGGGTATAACTTTTTCAAATTCTTGTCCTTCGTGTCCATATGACAGTTAAATCCAACTTTTGTCTGTTGAGCATTGCAAGATCTGACCTAGTGAATCTTTTGGTAATGAAAAACAGAAATATCTTTGCATATCCAAGTAAAATAATATGGGACCTAAGTAACATCCTTGAAAGTTGCATGACACATCATTTGTCAACATAAATGATGTTATTGGAAATTCTGATCTTGTTGGATTTCAGGGAGAATTGACAATCACCTCTGACATGGAAGAATTAGAAACGGCAATGTTTTTTGATAGTGTTCCCGAATCATGGACAAAGAGGGCATATCCGTCTATGCTTGGCTTGACTGCCTGGTTTATCGACTTATTAGGAAGAATTAAGGTTCGTTTATTATATCTAATCATTAAAGACATTCTAATCGAAGCAGTATGTATTTTGTATCCCCCGATAACGTGATGCTTTCATTCGGAGCACAGCAACCTATGGACAGTATGTATGAAAGTCATCAACTCTGGTTAACATTGAATATCCTCATTGTCCATATGAGGTTCAATGTTCAAAGACTGATTACTATTATGCTTTACTTAATTACATTAGACCGAAGTGGTTACTGGTATACATAGTTGCTCTACTTTGGATGCCTATGTGTACATACATATGCTGCATAGACATATATTACAAGTCACTTTGTCACCAAAATCACCCTACAATTCAATTGCAGGAATTGGAAACGTGGACAACAGACTTTCAACTGCCTACTGTTGTTTGGTTGGGAGGTTTATTCAATCCTCAATCATTCCTTACTGCTATCATGCAGTCTATGGCAAGAAAGAACGAATGGCCATTGGATAAGATGTGTTTGCAGTGTGATGTCACAAAGAAAAACAAGGAAGATTTCAACTCCCCACCAAGAGAGGGAGCATATGTCCATGGACTGTTTATGGAAGGTAAGAAAATGACTAATGAAATTTTTCCTTCTTAAGATAATAATGATGAAACCACATACCATATTGGATTCAAAGTAAAATAGTTTCCGCTGAATAGTTTTTATATCAATGTTATGACTGGAAACTGGCAGTTTTATTGTCACACTGTTAGGGACAACAAGCTTCCACATCCCTTGCAGCATAAGGTTAATACTGCTTTGCTTGTGCCCATACCTTCCTAATTTCGGGCAGCTCCCCAATGTTTTCTGCCTTGCAGCCTTGCGCCAATGCTACACTTAATTAATGTAAACTCCATTTCTCTCTCCAAAACAGGTGCACGTTGGGATACTCAGACAGGTCTGATGGCTGAATCTAGACTGAAAGAACTTACACCACCCATGCCTGTAATGTTCATCAAGGCAATTCCCATAGACAGACAAGATACAAAGAATATATATGAATGCCCAGTTTATAAGAACAAAGGACGTGGCCCTACATTCGTCTGGACCTTCAACTTGAAAACAAAAGAGAAGCCTTCCAGATGGGTTTTGGCTGGTGTGGCCCTTTTATTAGAGGCCTAGAATATAGATTATTTTCAAACAAACAAAGATATGTAAATAGTAGATAAAATTATTTTTTGTTTCAGTTTGTTCGTTGTTATGCAGTTGCTTTTGTTCAATAAACAATCATTAGAACATACTTGTCCCATTTAGGGAATCTATCAGCTTTGTTTGGCCATGTATGATCTTAATTAAGTTCACTGTGTTTTCTGTTGCTTTTAGAACGCTTATTGGTATTGTTCGAAATAAAATAGTTCTGTTGTTAACCATCTTTTTTTTTTCTTGTTCTCCGTCGATCTGAAGGTCTTCTGGCCCATCTGCAAAATGGTTCAACCGTAGTCTTGTTGAGAGCAGGTTCATGTATAGATATCATCTTTTACCCACTCAGGTCGCCATAATGAAGTTTGTTTTGCAGTGAACTAAAAAGAAGATCAGAGTAGGTAAATATAGTGCTCTCTGCAAAGACATATGGAACAAACAACTAGAAGACACAACTGAAAGCAGTACAAGATTTAACAGATACCAAATGATTGATTTTGAAAATACTTGATGAACCAATCCGAAATTGAAATATAAATCCAAAACAAGCACTCGCATCAGATTGATAATAAAAATATTTTTGCATAACAAAACAGACCAAAAACCCTGTCTGTAAGACTTCTGGAAATCGGGCATTCAAAATCGACAGGTGACAACTGTGAAAAATATAACTTTTTTTTTGAGAATCTGAACTTACCAATGAAATCAGACACAGGGTCATTTCCTTCCTCATTTCTCAATGTACCAGTGATGTTATCATTCTCAATGATTGGCAAAAACATGTGAACAAAATCTGATGTGTAAGGCGGACAAATGATGTCTAGGACCTATAACAAATATATAGTTTTTTAAACAAATAAAAAATTTAGTTAATTGACTATCCTGTACGATGGCCACTGCTACAAAAATTCATCATTAGTTGTGTCCCAAGTAACTTTTTGAAGATGAGTATACCGAATAAATTTGAAGTGTATTGTCCAGTCACCGAGGTAAAACATATTTACATCTATAACAAATTTCAACTTTTATCTAGTCGCCTTAATTAAAAGACATTGAGTTGTTTTTTCATGCCCACATTTACACAGTTGGGGTATTGGAACATATAAATAGATTGAATGGCATTGGCCCATTCATGGTTATTTATGATAGTGCATAATTTTTAGGCAACATTATTCATCCAATGCAAGTGATGAAGCATTCTTCTCAACATATATTCATCGCGGTGATGATGATTTTCATTAGCTCGTAGGCAATAATATTAGTGGAAATGAATTACACATTCAAGATATAACGTAATATTGCTTGATCAAATATAACTAGTACTAGGAGAGATTGCTAGTTTTCATACTTGGTTATTTCAATAGCAAAAAAATAGAAAGTCAATAAATCACCTCGGTGACAAAATGTCTAACTAGTGACACATCTGTATCTTGTCGATCCACACGTTCTCTTATGTATGAAATCACTGGCAAGACGCATCCTCTGCTCATTAAATGTACCTGAGATTGCAACATAATAAAAGTGATTAACATACTTGCAAGCGTACTAGTCTTCGAGATACATTACAAAAAAGTATACGAACCATCCGATCCAAAACTGTCTTCTTTAATTCCAGTTGTATCAAAGTGTCCAAATCAGGAAATTTGTTTTGGAATAAGTTTATCAGTAATTTTAACACTTCAAGATGCAATAATGGATGACAGCTCACAATCTGAAAGGAAAATACTTTTTGGGAAAGGAAATTTATGGGAAGAAAAACATTATTCTCTCATATTTTTTAAAAACTTTTTGGGAAAAAATAATTCGAAATTTAATTCTGCAGATAAATCTGGCAAAAATTAACCTTCATTAAAAAGAAATCAAGCAAACACGACAGCAACATTCAAATATACGAATATGAATGTCACGTGCGGTAGAGATTGAGAGCACAATGTTTGATATAATGATTGGTAAGCAAGAAATACAGAAGGTTGGGTAATACAGAATAAAAAGCATTCCCTTTAATTGAAGTAAAACAGCAAAATATTTGGTGAAATATGAAGATAAAATTAATAGCCCTACAGCAAGTACTGAAAATTTGAAATAGCAAAACGATCCTCAGGTCCACTTTTTGATCAACAATCAGTTTTTTCACAACACAGCCAATATGCAGATCTATATATTTACCTCATCAAGTAGTGTTAAATGTAGAGGCGTATGATCCATTTGTTTCTCAAAATAAGCTGAATCTGAGACAGTTTGGTCGACCCATTTTAAAACACCCATTGCTACCACAGGAAACCTGGAAAAAAGTTTTCATATTCTAAAACAGAAATTTTCACTCCATAAATTTTAAGAAATATCACGATTTCATTGCAAAACAGAATTTGAGAAAAAAAAATGGATGCCCATTTACTTGAATTTTGGGTTTTCAGGGTGATACTATTTCCAAAATCCAATGTAAATTCAAAATATCAATTAAGCATCACAATTATTGAGATAAACAATGATTTGATTAGTTTTCTATTTTTCAAGTTTCTTGAAGTTAAACAAAACATTTCTGACGTATGGCAGTACTGCAATACTTGCTAAAAATTACTTTTTTTTTCTAATAACAAAAAAAAATGGACAATTATGATTCATCACCATAGTTCAACAAACCTTATGCATTGATACAAAGTTCCAATCTCTGAAAGTAATTGAACGTGACCCCCACCCCCACATGTTAAATTATGAACTTTTTCAATCGCCTGTGATGTTTGTTTCAATTCATCCATGTTGATTTTCCTTGAATTGCTCTGAAATAATAGGATTGTAATATTGAATTATTGTGAGTAATTCTTTTCGATATACGGTAAATTTTTTTGAAATCTTCTGATGCTATTTATAAGCAATATGGTATTTATTTTTGAATACTGGGTGTGTACAAAAACCATATCAGTGTGTTTCCCACACTTTAAAAATTCTCTAAATTAATTTTACGTATATTAATAAAATTATTGGATCACCAAGTAGGCTCGATTTTAAAGAATGCCTTCAAAAATAATAAAAAAAAGGAATGATACAAATAGGTTTCACATGAAATACAGATAAAGAATCTTCCACAAAGCAGGTAAAACAATACCCATTGTGTTTACTAATTAGTCAGACCGACCATGTCTGGGCATTGGGCCATGCTAGATAATAATAATATAGGGTGTCCATAAAGCCTTAGAACTTTTTAAAATTGCAAAGAAAATTATCATACCATATATTGTTTTAGCCCTCACAGATGTATTGAATGAAGAAAAAATACTTGAACAACAAACTGGTTAAGATAACAAACCTCCTGACAAAATTCAAAATCGTAAAGAGACTTTGTGAACACCCTATATTAATACAAATGCCTGCAATAAAGTTTGAAAAACATTTTCTTGTCACTGCAGTTTATGATACTGATCATCAATTATTCATGAAAACTAAAAAGTGCATTCTGTAGCCACCAAGCATGAGACAAAATGAACTGCAGACAACAATGAAAATTACATATGGTCCTTGTCTAATTAGATAGAATGAGTTGAATATTAGAGTTTTCCTCTTGCAGCCATATGAAAATTTAAGCACAATATTGATTAATTTCTTCCATGTATAAGACAGGTTTGTAAACTATAAATTTAAATTACTGTATTGGTTTACATATTGCGCAGATAGCCAGAATGACAAGTAATTTATTTCTGGTGATTCAGATCTGTCATTTCTCTCAAATTCCATATTATTTTTTACAAAATAAAATCAATAAACCAGTCAAAAATTATGGTGATTCATGTGATCTGCTGTTGAGTAAAAGAAAAACAATTCGAAAATCACTGCCAAAACTGTCCTTTCCTAATGCAGGCAGTTTGTAAAAATCGAAATTCCGTAATCGATTATAACACGTTGGAAAGGGTTTTTTATTGAAGCTATTGAAGAAGAGTAGTACCTACGGTACTTTTAAATACTATATTCCCAAGAATTACAGCTAAGTAAAATGGATCATTGTATGAAAATTTGTATGTAATATGTATGTATATTTATTTGCCTCAAAAATGTAACAATATCTGCATTGAAGAGATTTAAAATACTGTAGCCAATACATACCTTATTTCTTGTTTCAACAACACTAGCTGCATAACCAAGTAAAAATATATATTTATGTTTGTGCTCAGGATTTATCTTGGCTCCTCCGCTTGTAAATAGACTTGTCACCATCAATTCAAGAAACAGTGGAAACTGTGAAAATAAAATTTGATAATATTATAATATAAAAGTGAAATACAAGAGCCTGATGTTTCAATAAAACATGTGATAAAAATTATTAACATCTATTATATATGTATTCTTACATATATAGGCAGATGAGAAAAGGCCGAAAGGTATGCAATTGTATAACTAACGCTTGGCAAAATAAAAGATCTGGTCCATAAAATTATGTATTTCATTTTAACATACGGTGTGTTTTTATTTTTCTAGTGTATTTCCCAATTACATTCATATAATGATATAATTTTCAGTATTTTTCTTTGTACAATAAAGACTTAATTCTTAAGATATTTTTAAAGCTACATCATGAATTATAAAAAAAAATATTCATTTTATATAACAGAAATTAAATCGAAATAGCGAGAAATCACACATTGGAAATTAGTACTAACACAGTACTAAAAAAGCCTATTTTGCACCTATTTTTAAATGAATAATGGATGATCATACAATTTTTTGAAGCCAATTCCATATAAATCACAACACTTGGAATGGTCAGAATGTAATAATAGAATAAAAATAAGTGAAAAATAAGCTACACATATAATATTCAAATTAAAGATCAATAAAATGTTACAGAGCTGAAGGTTAATAACAATCTAATTACATTATTGCGGTTACAAAGATTATATTCAATAGACTGACTCATGATACTAAAATATCAGATCTAATTAATTTGTCACAAATTTAAATAAAAAATCATGTAAAAAGTTTTTTAGTAAAGTTTCAAAATGACTATTTTATGAAATCAATTACATCATTTTATTGTTTATCGGTTCATATAAATTCATTTTTTAGAAAAATTTTTAATTCAGAAAGTGTTTGTGGTATGATTTCCAAGCACTTCAAACAAGATTTAAGCCCTGAGCTGATATCAAAATAAAATAATTTTTAAATTATAGATAGCAACAATTCTAGATAGCAACTAATAATTTATAGATTAGCATTTAAAAATGAAATGTCAGTGAAATGTTCACATAATGATAAATTACTATTGATAAACATTTCAAATTTAATTTAGCAAATCAAGTGAAAAGTACTTACAACATCGAAACAAATCACTACTATATAAGACACCTAATCAATGCAAAGATATCCCCAAAGAGCTTCTTGAAAAATTGATTTCATTTATTTTCCAATATTATGTCAAAGTTTGGACATAGCATAGTATTGACATATTCAAGAATGCACAGCTTGGAAGATAATTTCCCATGAGACTATAAAGAAATACATTAGACAATACATATAGTCGAATACACACAACAGAGACTCTGGGATGTCAAAAGAATTGAAATATAAAATACTCAAAACTCATTTATTTTCATGAATATTGAATATATTTTCGAAAATACTAATATTTATGTAACAAATTGCCCTTCTCTGTTAAAAAATATACTCTATTCATATAAACGATGATTAAAAAGCAAATACTCAAAGAATTATATATAGGCCAATGAATTATTCAGATATGAATATCTTTAGTTTAGTTAGGTATTATGAGTGGTGAAGTGTTTTAGCATTCTAAAAACGATTAATTTCGATTTCACACTTTATATGCACTTATTCCTCAAAATGTAAATGCTGCTCCACTAAATAACATTATAATAAATACAAGCCATTATAGGTCTAAAACATAATTGTGCAGCAGTTATGTACAAGCTTTAATAAAACTTTGCCGGTGAAGTATAGTTTTGTGGTAAAAAAAAGAAGTCTGATGACCATACTTAAAAACAATATATCGCCGGATGAGAACAGAAGGGACCTACGGTAAGTCACATTTTTGCAAAATTCACTTTTTTCAATATTTTGGGGTTTTGAGCCATGCTCTACAAGGTGGTGGTCTTGAAATCATGAATTTCTCAATAATAAAAATTTTAGCTGGACTTAGGACTGTAGAAGTTAAGAACAGAATGGGCCTAAGTCCAGCTAAAATTTTTAATATTATGAACTTCAGAATTTCAAGACCACCATCTTGTAGAGCATGGCTCAAAACCCCAAAATACTGAAAAAAGATAGTCCCAAGTTCCAATATGATGGGCATGAACATCAGAAATGAAATGTCCGAAGCTTACATCCCTAAAAATTTCTTCAGTGCAACTTAGGCCTAAGTCACCTTGTTTTACTTTGCATCCCATACAAAAAAATTCAGAAGTTGTTGAGAACAGAATGGGCCAAAGTCCATTATGGGATTAAAAAAGCAGGAAGGAATTGAAGCTGAAGTGCCAAAAAATATTGATTACAAAGATATTCACATCCACATTAAAATAACCAGAGCTCAGGTCTTTTCTAAGTGTGAATATCTAGAAATTCAAAAATAAAAAAATTCCAAATTGTTTTTTGTGTTTTTCTCAAAACTCAAAATTGTGACTTAGGCCTGTTCTGTTCTCATCCGGCGATATGCACTGTAATTATTCTGACATGAAGACAGTGATACCGTGAAAATAATCCATTCTTACAGTTCACGCTTGTCAGAATTGATCAGCGATGAGAAAGCACAATATTTAAACAATTTGAGCGTGATGGAGCATAAAACAAAATCAAAATAGCCTTTTTAAGTAAAGACTTCCATCTTTAACTAATGGAAATTTGAGTTAAATTAGTTCGTTAGTTGTAGGGAAAAGTTATTTTTAGTCTTAACAACAATATTATAAACAAAAACAATTTAGCAATGACCCAAAAGTTCGCTTCTTGTACATCAATAATGACATTGCATCAGATAATTAGAAGACAAAGTTGTTAATATGTTTTGTGCAGTGAATTAGGGCGTAATAAACGACACCTCTCTTACAGATAATCCCTTGAGAAATTGGAGATTGAGATGGTTAATGTATAAATTAATCTTGATTACCTTAATAAGGGTTTAAAATTAGCATGGACAGGTGAATCACAGACTATCTGATTAGTTGAGCAATCTAATCTTATTCTCTAACTTTTTTTTTGTTTGGAATATTTTCCATTCTCTAATCGGAGTCATGTTCAACATATTTGATATAAACGTTGTTCTGAATAATTTTCTAATTTTTAAACATCAATCGAAGTCCATTTTTAACTTTAATCACCAGATATTAAATAATAAAAAAAAAATATTATAAATGACTCCCAATTCAAAGAATTACTATGTCGAATTGTCCAGTTTTGAATATATTCGAATATTCGATTTATCATGGACATCCCTGCCAGTAATTTTATAAATACCACAGATTAGTCTGCTTTAAATCAGTACACTAGTTTACCATGATAGTTACAATGAGGGTTTACATAATTGTTCATCCCAAAACCTTTTCAAAGCAAAGTTATGTGTAATATTGAATTAAAAGTTGTGAAAACTCAGGGCCTATTAACTCGCAACAGATGTTCGAATTCCACAAGCTCATGCAATAATCTTGAAGGTGCTCAGAAATACACACACACAATAACATTACTTACTATTATTAAGCCGACATTTAAAAACCAACACAGAGTATTATTAATATAACAAGAAAATAACAGCAAACAACAGACATAGGAAAAATGTTCTTACAAATATTAATAATCTTAAATAGAAAATATTATCATATAAAAACGTTCTTACTCTAAGTAACTCGACTGGTGGAGGATCGTTTCCAGAATACAATTTATGTAGAATAGTAATGTCTCCTGGATTTAATTGTCCTTTCGATAATAATGACATTATACTTTGACTGGCTCGTAAATGTGATGCTGTATTACTCAAAGCTAAAGTGATATGTGTTACATCATGCCCCCTGAAAAGTGAAAATAAAATAAAAATCAATTTGCTATTCTGGGGAGAAAATTTCCGAATCTGGAATATTAAATATATATTCTATATTGGACAAGCTCAACTTTAATAAATTGTTGATAATCGCTAGAAATGAATTTGGTAAATGAAGAATAGTTGAGATAAGCATTGTTTCGATTTATTTTTATTTTTACAGTTCCAGAATTAAAAAAAAACATTGGTTTTCATCAGAATCTATTCCTGAAAACAATTCATAATATCGTGAACGTAAACGGCTGATTTCAAATAGATTCAACATTCGATTTGTTTTGGCAATCCCTAGCTGGATGTATCAAAAATGGATGAAAATACCTGTGACTCGGATGTACAAATAAGACCAAACTAAATTTTAAGGTCTTCAAGTTGTACATGAATGACAATAAAAACCATGGAAATCCCAAAAAAATCAGGTCCATACAAAAATTATGATAATTACCTTTATAAATTATATAAAAGAATACTGATATCCAGTATAAAAACTTGTGTTGATCATGTTTATACTTTTTGCACTTTCATCCTAATAAATTACTCTGATTGAAAGACATTTTCTGACCTGTTTTTAGCGTATTTTTGTACTTCCTGGCTTATTCGTCGAGCCACCGATCCACCGTTTTTCTCTTTTGCCAAAACAGCCATGACGACTTGTGCATATAAATATGTATGTTCAGCATGACAGACCATTTTCTATAATGCATAAAAGTATTTCAAAATTACTCCAAAACATATCTAAATTAATATCAAAATCTAAAATCTCAAAACAAAATTATATTTAAACCATGATACAACAATAATCAATATTATCTGAAATGACGCATATCACTGGCACCTGCTCATGCAGAGCCTTGTTCTGAGCAAAGATGTGAAATATCTCATGGAAAAAATTCAATGAACTGGTAAATATACAGACAAATATTCAATATTGGAAATTTGATATATATCACTCAAATGCTACCACTATAGATGTAATTGTGATAAGTGTACTCTGAGAACACACCCTTGGTTAACGCCCCCAATTTTTCTTTATATTCAAGTTTTGGATGATCCCAGTTAGCGAATAAATAACATACTGCAAAATCAGGAATATTCTTATCAAGAGCGGCCTCTCCTCCAGCATCAAGTATTGTTGCAAGACAAGTTCTTAAAACACGAGAAAATACTTCCAGTTGTGTACATGCTGTTGACACGTTTGTTATTTCGCCTTGATAACCAGCATCAGATATCAGCTAAAATCAAATTATACAAAGTTAGAGGGGAAGAGAATTCTACATTGTAGTTCTGGGGAGAGTATTAGAATATTACGGCGCGCAACTGATGAGTGATGACATAAACTAAATCATTTTTTGGAGTCCGAAAACAGCAAATTCATAATAATGAGGCTGGTATAAGAACGCATCATAGGTTATACCAGTGCAAATCTGCATATACAGAATGCTAAAAAAGATGGAAAAACACTTTTCCATAAAATTAATCTGACACTTGAGGTATCGACGATTTGACTACTAAATAGACATAATACCTTGACAGTGAAATTCAACATGAGGCATTCAGGATATTCTTCAGCCAATTTGTAAAATAATTGTCTCCATTTTTGATGAGCAATCATGCTTTCAAGCCATGATGGTGTCTGAAGGATTTGAAAAGCTAGTTAGTAATAAATAAATTATAAAGTCATTATTTAATCAAATTTACTTTACAAGGTCATCTGGGTCAAAAATTTCAAATCAAGGTCGTTAAGAACACTACGCTCTAATTATCTGATTAACAGCTATTCACCACAAACAAATAACCTTGCAATCAATTACAGTCGGAAACTAAATGATTGTCAAGTTGTAAAGCATACTGGTTCACACCCAAAAGATATTCAGTACCTACAAAGAGATCATGAAAAATATCTCAACTAATTCCGAATTAAAAGGGTACATGTTAAAGATATAACATATCTACATACCAGTCCAAATTCTTAAAAAAAATCTGATTATTATGGGCAAAAAATATTTTTAATATGAAATATACAAAGTCATGAATCACGCTTGATGAAACAATCTCCTATCAATAAATATTTTTGATACATCTTTAAGTAGGGCCACATATATACCAGAAAGTATGTATGGCTTAGCTTAAAGAAATTCTTTTGTAAAAAATAAGCACCTCTCCCTCTTCTGTAAATATAGTATCTGCTTTCTTTGGATCGAAATGTTTCAGCAAAAGATCTTTCAAATGATTTTCAACCATATCTTGTACTTCTGTAGGAGCTAAACCTATTTTAAAAATATGGATAATTTTGTAACAACATTAATGAATCATAGAACTTTAAAACTGCGCTTGGAATTAACGTTATCCATAGATCAAAAAGATTTTATTTTCATAATATTTTGCAATGAAAGGTAAAAGGTGTGGGATTGCATCCAGCCAATTACTTACCGAGGATATTTTTTTTTAATTTTTTTTTGAATAAGAAAAACAATTAATTCTTCAAAACATGTTTTATTTTCGCTACTTTTTTATATCTCCGCAAATGGAAAAATTGTTTTACAAGCACTATGTCACATGGTTCCGAACAAAGACAAATACAAGCTTCTACTAAACCCCATTAGGCTGCTAGGATTGGAATGACTGAAAATTATCATTCATAATCAATTACCAAATAAATGAGTATGTAGAAAATAGTAAAATTTATACATGTCTGTCAAAAATGTACCTTTATTTGATCGTTTTCATTTGTACGATTTCAAACATGTAGCCAATCTCATAGTATTAATGCAAGAAGGTACAGAATTTTCCGAAAAGATTGGCAAGCACACAATATGGAAGCAGTTGCACAATATGGAATAAAAACCGTTCCTATTTAATTGAAGCAAACATTTCCTCGAAATATCAAGTCACATGGGGCTTGGAAAATAAAAGCATTAGCCTTATAAGGACTACTTTCATTTTTTAACTCGATGCTTAGTTGCGAAACTTCCATATGTACGCTTCGTTAGTTAGTTAACCACAATTATATAACTGCGTCTACCCACTTAATTAACTTTAAACACTAATTGTAGAGCATGAATGCATTACTAAGACTTACCACACATAATCAACCATTCAGCAAGAAGATTGACAGTTTGTGCAACAGCAGTATAATTATCAGACAATAATTCAACAACTTTTTCTGGCATCCCTCCTGCTTGGAAATACCTAAAATCCAAGAGAAATATAAATAATTATAAACATAATTAAGAAAAAAGTATTGATGTGAGTGACATCCAAATTTCGATGTTATGGTTATGGCTCTCAATATATTTCTGTGAGATGTACAAAACAAAGATTCAAATTTTGAATACCTCCAAAATCAATAGATTTTAATATAGAAAGTTATGCATTAATTATGCATATGTTATTAGAATGTAAATTCATAAAAAATATTAAGCATCAACATCCGACAGAGAATTCAAGCCAAGTTAACGGCAATGTTAATTTTCTACAATATGCTATTCAAGGATACAACAGCAATTTGAGCAACTATCTCTTAAACATTGACTAATTTAGGATATATTCTATCACAAAATATTGAAAACTTTTTCAAAAAAATTTCAAATCCTTTGTATACCATAAGTTTCAATACTTTAAGATTCTCTAATTTATATTAAAGGCGCAAACAGTCGATAACTAAATCATATGAAAAACAACAGTCTCGTGTCTAATCACTATTACGATGGCGTGCATATCAATAAATAATAAAGAGAGCTCTATTGTTATATTATTCCTTTATATAGAAAATTTATCAATTATATCAGTTGAAAATTGAAACCATCAAAAAATAAGACTAAAATAACATAGACATAGGTATTCATAAAGTAAATAATATCTTGCCCTTTTAGAGTGTTGAAAATGGAAGGCTCCATGATATAATCAGTACTTGCTAAATTTTTCAAACATTCATTTCGTGTTGCTTCCATATCATCACCAATCTCAGCTTGGGCACCAACCTAGAAAAAAGTAAAACCCATTTATTAGAAAACGAGACTACTAAATCAATATTACCTGTTAAGATCAGATTCAATAAATCAATAGTTTCTACTTTGCAAACAACCAAAGTCTACAATATTGATGACCAATAAAAACAGTTTCCAATTTTTGGTGTTCTTTACAAGAAGCTATACGACTGCCAATTTATTTTGGATTTTATCAAATGTCAAATGTTAAGTCCGAACAAGGCTCAGAACAAGCAGCCAGGAACGGAATCTTTCCAATTCTACTTTGCCTATTCAATATATTACACCCTGGGTGAGATTGTGGTTGTGGGTTTTGAACTTAAGATACTTGGCATGGCACAAAAAAAAATTAAATAATTAATATAGTTAGATGTAACTTGCTTACGTTACCAGAAAGGAGATATCTACAATATAATAATAATATTGAGTACCTGTTATCTCAAGAGCAAATCATAATTTTCAAAAACTATTTAATTTAATTGGTGAATATGCAATTAAATGGTTGCATATATAGCAAACATTACACAAATATCTTTATTTTGATAACAGATTCCCACAAATAATTTGTCCTGTACATATTATCAACTATTAAAAAAAAAACTTGGTACTTCAATACCCCACAATATTTAGGTTGTTCTGTGTAAATAATACCACATATTCAGTTGAGTCAAGAAATAAAAAGGACTATTCAATTGTTTGAATACAGAGCAGGGATTAGGCTATTATATTCATTGCAAAAGAAATACAGCAAGATAGTCTAAATTAGAATTAATAAAAACATTATAATGTGATCTCTGCTACTTACTCCTTCGGCCTGATCATCCCATGCAGCTTCATCTTGGTTATCTTCATCTTCCATATTTATTTTGAGATATTTAAATCCAAATTTCTATTTTAAGAATATTGTTTTAACTTGTGACATAAAACATTGTGAAAAAATTGAAAACAATTATTAAATGAAGTCATGAAGATCAAACAATACAGATGAAGATATAAAATTAGCAAAAATAGGAAAAGTAAAAATTGTTGACACTGTATGGGGCATTGACATATGATAAATATAGAATACGGTACTAATTAAAAGTGTACCATCTCGAAATTATTCTGATTTTTGGATAATCGCTTCTGTGTTCATACTGATAATAATACAAATCAGAAAAATAGTAATAATGTTGGGTCACTTCAAGGCAAGATTTCCCGGTTTTAACATCTTTCTGACAATTTCGAAGCAATACTACACCAAAAAAACACATGGGTCACTGGCTGCTACAAAAATTATGTTCTTACTCAAGAACTTTTTCTATAAATTATTAACATAAATTAATTTAAAACACATGAAATTTTAAAATGGGTATAAATTATGGTTACATGCCTAACATAAACAATTTCTAGTGGAACATCGAAAAAATGTATCAAATCCCGAAATTATGTTGTAACTTGTACTAAAAATTTAAAAATGATTTTATCGATATTTATTCGACAAAATATAATATAACTAATTATAATGATAAATAACAGCACCCTCAATAAAATTTTATAATAACCCAACAGTGGATACTCTAATATGACTAGAAATCAATTTGATGTTGACGGATAATATACTACAGACTTTTTGTATAACAAAATATGAATTGTACTAAAATAAGTTATTTTAACTGCTCTTATAAAAAGTTGCCTTCTCAATTTATTAACAATATTTGATATTATATATCTATTCTGAGTATTAAATATTTATATAGAAAATACGCGATAAAAATGGTCCTTATTTTAGTTAGGGCAAGTCAAACATGAACAATCTATTCATATCAGGTATGATACAAACATTGTATAAAATAGGACTGTGTGGCCACAAACTAGAACTGGGCAAGTAAAAAGAGCAAGTGATAATTAATACAATAATTAATATAATTTACTCATGCAAACATCAATTATTAAGCAATCACAAGAAGTGTGAAAAAAAAGTAGTAATGTTTTAGCAGAAAAATGAAGAGTAGTAAAGTGTCTTGGATGAAAATTATAACAGTTAGTATTTGCTGATAAAATACTATAACCAAAAGAAATGACAAAAATTAATAACAGACAGAAAAATATTTGTTTGAATATTGAGTTTGAAAAAAAAACATGAACCTATTTAAAATCAGTGTGCAGTGCAGGATTAATATGAATTTCCAAAAAAGATTTGTGAATATATACTGGTATATATAATCCAGTCTTAGCGACTGAAAATAATAAACTCAGGAGATGTTCATTATACAATAGATTGATATTTTTAAATTGCTGCCTACATTAAATTCATTGTTCAAACGTTTACTGAGATATTCATATTTAATAGTTTAATTTTCTAGAATTCTTTTTCAGATAAAACCTTGATTTATAGGAAAATTGTAGCAAAATTTTTTGTAGCAAATCATGATATATGCAATTGGAGTTATAAAATCCCACATAAAACTCTAAATACAGGAATCTGGTTGCACACCTCAAGTCTAGAAAGGACAATTTTTACAGAGTACATATTTTTGCTCGTAAAGAAGTGTCAGCAAAAAAAATAAATTGTATCATTAAAGAACATGTTTGACAATAGGTTGAGATTACGATACTGTTAAATATATACTGATAATTGAATTCTACAGCAGGCACCACTGTTGCAATTACTATGTTGACAAAGGAGTGAATTACAGAGTTATAAAAACCTGATAAACAGCTCAATCAAAACTATTATTCATTCAACACTGAGAATAATTAAATAACAATCAATTGCAGGTAAATGAATTCACAAATCAAGTATTATTAACATCATACACACACACGACACTCCTTTAAAAATGTACAACAGTGTCGCCAGCTTTTGTTTTAAATTTATTATTGAAATTATTATAAAATCAAATATACAAAAAATTTGTTCCGGAAAATGTGACCCAGTAGTCAGTATGTCTGTCTGATAATGTTTGAATATTAAGTTATGCCCAGTGGACTATGATTTGAGGTATATTTCTACAACACTTATCATACACAGAAGTATATGAAATATGAAAAAAGCGTTTCACTTGACATATTAATTATTGTAGTAGTCGCAACAAAAAGCAGTCCCATCCACATTCGATTTTTTTACCAATACTGCACTAAAATTACTCAATACCGATGTTGAAAAAGCGTCAAGATATGGCTTGAAAAGTTTAATAACCTTCATACAATTGTATTTTATTAACTACCGTACTTTACTAAATAAAATGTACCGATTTAAAAAATTTATTCCTATCGGGGTTATCTTGCATAATGATTTGACGGATATAAAATGAAGAATTCAATAAAAAAAGATTCTGGCAAAGTGAATAATGTTATGGGAACAAAGCAAAAATAAATAACAAAATAATAAAAGTTAAACCTATCGTGAATGACTAACTGGCAAGCAATGTAAAGTTTTGTAGCAATTGCAAATTCATAATTATTTATAACATAGGTAAATTTAGCACACTGCTGCAGAGAGATATCCAAATAACTCCAGAATTTGGTTATGAAAGCGGAAAGCGTCAATATATAATATATAACGTTGAAAAATCAATTTATGTCACAAAATATTGTCTTATTTGCGATACTCTATACATTACAATATTAATACTGTGACGTATGTGTGCCAATTTAAATTGAGTAGAGGGTGATCACAACAAAATTAAGACTATTAAGTTTATAATGGAGCATCACTATATTGATTAACTGCAAACTAATTAATACATCTTTAGGAACAATATCATTGAGTGGGACAAACTACACAAAAATTTGACCATGAAGCTGATCAAATAATAGAATTACCAATAAAATAACACAATTTTTAATGGACGAACTTGGAATAACTTTTCCTAGGAAAAGCTGCATTGAAAAGTCAAATAAATAAATAACCATGCGTCATTTGAATTGCGGCATCTTATAAAGTCAAAGTGCGCGCGCTTGTCGGTGCCGGAACTAATACTTTCAATATATAGTTGGTTATCAATGACGGCACTTCTTCACTATCTGCTTTGATGGCATCTAGTAATTTAATAAGAGCCTGAAGACCCTCTAGTGGAGGAACACCACCTTCGTCAAAAGGAATTACTGTAGTGAGAAATCTCCCAGGAGAGGATGACACTGATGCATTTGACATGCTGAAACTTTTTGACAATTTCCCAAACTTGAATCTGCTAGAATGCGCTTTATCATTCTGTTGAAATTGTTCCTGTTTACGTTGAACTTCTAATATTTTGGAAATAAATGTGTTACGAACTTCTTTCTCGTATAAAAGCTCATCGCGAAAATTTAACTGATTCAACAAATCTTCTGAAAGAAACTTGACAGTACTTTCCAAGCTACACAGCTCTTCATTTAATTCCGCAATTGACATTTGTTTCAGACTAGACGCTCTGTCGCTTTCCTCCTGACTGGATGGCGATCCCAAGTTACGTCCATAAATTATACTGCTCTCGTCACTCATCAGGTCGTTTTCAATTGAAAATGCATCTATGCTTCCATCAGTATCAGCAATGATAATTCCAGTTTGTTGTTCCAACTCGTCGTCAAATGCTGCGTCCTGCTCATCTGCATCCAACATAATTTCTTCTAGTTCTTGAATGACTTCATCCGCAGATTGTAATTTCCCATTTCCAGTTGTTTCAGAATTCTGACAAGACATTTGATAAGGCTCACATTCTGAGTATACATTATACTCAATTAATTTGTGAAAATCCATTTGATTTTTAAGCTCATTGCTTTCAAATTCTGAATATCCATCGAGATCTTTTTCTACATTGCTTTGGTCTGATATGTTGAGATCCAGAGCAGGAATGTGTAATTTACGAATTTGTGAACTACACCAATCCAATGGTTTAACTAATCCATAGTTATCAGTGATCGACTTCCAAATATCATTGTAGTCTAAAATATCATTTAATGTTTGTAATGGTTTTACAATTTTATCATTGTTAATTGATTTATTTTGTATCTTAAAACATTTTGAAATCTTCTGCTCAAACTTTTTAACCAAATCTTCCATACTTCCATAATTCTCTGCAACGTTCAATGTTGTGCAATTATTCAGACCTTGCGTTATTCCATTTCCAAAAGAATTGAAATAATCATCACTGAAGCAATCCTCCTTTTTTTCATCACATGAAAATGAATTTGATGAAAAATTTCCCCAATCATCCTCAGTTTCTGCCATAGGGGCAGTCATTTTATAGACTAAAAACTGAAAAATAAATCAAACTGGAATAAGAAAAAAGGAAAGTCCAGGACAAGAAAATGTTCACATTTATCAGCATATCTCTGGTCTCAGGGTCTCTGTATATCATATATTATCTGTATATCAGAATATTAGTTCTTCGATTCCAAGAATAGCCCCCAGCCCCCCACATTGAAAGACATCAAACAAACAGTAAGTGTAAACCCCTTGTACGATAACCAAGTTGAATGGCTCAGACCTCTAGACAGCAGGACACTGTAACAGACTTGATTTCCCTGTCAATGCAGCAATGACTGGACAGAATGACCCAAATTCCAATTACTGGTGGGCTAACTAGTACCGGTACTGAACTTCATGAACTTGAACTCTGTTTATTGTTTCAACCTATTTTTCTAAACCTATCTTTTTGTCAACTGATTCCGGTACTTGACTTAAATATTTGAAATGAAATCAGTGAATAGGAGAATCATTCGATCATGAACTTGCTGAAAACAATAGGAAGATAAGATTAGATAAGATTTTATTTCGATTCATACGCAAAAACAAAATAAACACATATACACAAAAGATTAAGGCGAAGAATCTGGAAAGTGAACAAAACCTAATAAAATAGGTTTAAAACGTATTAAACGCGTTCACTTACCAAAGAAAAAAGAAACGAGTCACAAACACAAACAAATAAACATGAATATTGACGGCAGTCATTACTCAGGCGTTTCACTTGATAATCAGGTTGCGTGCAATCTTTCCAAAGACAAAACACGCTGTGCGTGTGATGCGACATGTAAACAAACAGTCCGAAAAATCCTAGAATGAGGTGGGTGCGAATGCATGTTTCCGTTCCATGCTCAAACATATATCTAGTAAAATCTACTAAAACGTTAACACACCAATGTAAAAATCGATTGTGAATTTTCAAATATCAGTTCGTGCAGTTTAACCGAAGCGAAGACTAAACAAACAGCGTTGTTTTGTTTTTTTGTGTGTGTGTGTGTATTGCCAAATTGTATTTCATAGCCATTATGAATTTTTACATTATAAATTTTGTTGCTTCAGATTAAACTAATGAAAAAAATATACATACCGGTACCAACGTAAATTACTCCCCCCCAGCTATTTTGATGGGTTCCTTATCCTTGTGCCTTTTTGGGTAATGGCAGTCAACTCGACCTTTGACCCGGGAAAATAGAGTACAAATATTTCCTTCGTCGTAAAATTCCCGACATCTATTTTGAACACAATTTGTATCCATCCGAGATAGCAGGAAATCGATATGAAATCATATCATGCATACTAAAAAATGTCTTCTAGTCCTTTCGATTTTGTTAGGGAAAAAATTCCATGTGAACAATCCCGCAACAACGAGAAGTTCAGCAAACTTCCCATTTTCAGGAAATTTTTGGCGATTTAGGGAATTTTTATCCATTCCATAATTAAAATTAAACAGGTGTATAGTTTTCCTCGTTAATCATATATGTTACATCCAGTGGTGGGATCCAATTTTTTTGTCAGCCGGTTCTATCACATATCTTTCAGCCGGTTTTGTTACAAAAAGTCAGTGGTTCCCAACCTTTTTTTATGCCGCGGCACACTATTGAACTATTTAAATATTCGCGGCACACCTATCACAAAACAGGAACATTTCCTACTCTTGAAGCCATTTAGCTATAAAATAATAAACATGAGAGCTACGCCCAAATATATGGACACGTCTGTTCGCAGTACAGTACGGTGTACCGTACCGTCAGATCACAGTCTACAAATATATTCACACCAAGCGAAGCAGTACAGTAGGACACAAAATGGCGTCCGATGTTCGCAGAACGTTTAATGACGTCATAGCAAACAAAAACAAATCTCACAGAGCTAACAGGTATATTTAAAATGAATAAAAGTAATAGCCTTCTGGGGAAAAATTTTATCTTCAACCACTGAAAATTTCAAAGCAATCGGTCCAGTATTCGAAGAGAAAAGCGGTTTTTTAATATTTCCACTGGGTGTGTTACTCTGTGTCAAATAACAACAAGAACAAGAACAACATAATATTGAAACGATCGTTATGTCCACTACGTGTCCAAAAACATAGAAGATCAAATAAGAGAAATTCTATTTTTGTTAATATAACATATCCTGTATTTAAAATGGGTGGCTAATAGTTACCGATATTATAACTGTTTTCTTACAATAACGTACACGAGACCCACCTTCGGAGCACATCACATTTTTGTATAAGATGCGCGACTGCACGGGTAATAGTCGTGACGCGATACGCTTTGGTTTTATTCGCCCTTTCCCTGGGTGTAGCCTTCTTATTATCACAGGTATTCTCACTTTCGCACAACCTAATTTATTTTTGTTACAATTTAATGTTTCTCCCATTGCCAAAATCATTCAACGGTAATTGTCGGCACTAGCGAAATAAATGAAGGAGGCAAACAAACCGTATTTCATTACAACAATTAATTATTATCGCTAAAACACTAAATAGGTTTAAAGTTTTTATATAAAAATATCACGCTTTCGTGAAGTAGTGCAATTTACTACATTTAATAAAGGTTTTATTATTAAGTTTCATTGCATCAGTGTTTGTGCTATCACTCGTTTCGCCTGATTACTGGCATGATTACAGATCGCAAGGATGGGCAAAAAAGAATATTTTTATCGAATCGAATTATTCGAAATTTTTTAACGAATTGTTGAAGACGGCTATTAAAGATTTTATTCTGATTTTCATCTTTTACGCCGGTTTTGATCTTTCTCCCCACCGATTGTAAATTAACTGTCCCAATGGTCCCAATTGAGCTAACAATATTATCATTTCTGACGTCGGAAAGCGGATATTTATAAAGACGATAGTTGACCTTCTTATGAATTTACTTTCTTATTATGTCTGTTTAATTTTCGTATTAAATGGTGAATATAAACTCTGCAAAATCATTGCGTGAACCCTGAATGTTATTTTGAATTTGAATAATAATTAAATAAATAGGCAATAATGGCAATTCTGCTAGTCAAAAAATAATTCCTTGGTCAAATTTGGGAAAAATTTCGCACAATAATTTGTTACCTTGGTTGACATTTTCACGAAACGGTGTTGGCGCGCATTATGCAAAACTAAGAATTAAAACAATACCCAAATACCTGAAAACGACTCCTCAAATTTGTCGCTTCTGTTTGTTAGCAAGAGCTGTGAGTAATTCTTGTGGAATTCAAGGGACTGAAAATTGGAATCACTTGATATAAATTCAAAAATGAAATCTTTTCGCGGCACACCAAAATCTTTACCCTGGTTGGGAACCACTGTGCTAAACGGTTCGCTGATCTCATAAATTTCCGTGCGACGGTTCTATAGAACCGGTGCGAACCAGCTGAATCCCACCACTGTTTACATCACAGAAAATGATAACCCTCTATAGTTAAATGATGTAGGATATGAATTCATATTCATCCCCTAATCTGGGGAAGTCGATAAGGCGGTTTATTCATGTGGCGACGCCCTCTCGTCCGATTACCAGTCCATGACGGCTATGGTAATTGGTAATACAGTAGTAATCCAGTTGTTCCATATGCATGCACGCAGAGAAACCCGTGACCCTCTTTGCGAAATAAATCCCAATGCCAAAAGGAATTTTCGTATTGAAATTTTAGAATAGAATCATCATATATTTTTTTATTAATAAAAACATTACTTTTTATACACACGATAACACATAAATACAGTCGCATTTAAGAAAATGAGTTCATGATAATTTTCCACCTCTTAACGTGGTTCGACAGTTTTAAGTTGAATAATTTTTTCACGGTTAAGAACGCTTTTTATCATATATATATAAAAATTGATCAAATTGAGGCCTTTCATTACGTAGTTTACATTTATAAATATAATATCTTGCAGTTAATAAAACTAATAAAACACAGTTTATACCTTGGTTTCATTATATTTTCAATAAAAAATTGTTTGTTACTATAACTCGGTTTTTCAATTTAAACACATTCCTCTTGACCGGAGGTTACGTGAACCACCCTTCGACGGCGAGCAGTCCAGCAATCACCTCGCATGTAAGCATGCTTCAATGGATTCCAACATGTCAATCCAATTAGAGGTATGGTGGCGAGTGCATTCCAAACGCTCGGCACGCTGCGTCAGTCGCCGAGCTCTTAGGCCGCGAGCCGAGGCCCTGAAAAACGCCTAGAAAGTGAGTTTCGTAGCGCACATCAGGTAACTACCTGAAAATGATTTTAAAATGTTCCTTAAAAATTTAGTAACAAATATTGCCTTGTTCCCACTTCCAAAAGTTGCACGTTTTACGGAAAAGACGCTTTTACTACAAGAAATATGTGCTAGGATCTGTCCTATATTCTCTACATTTTCGGCACTGAACAATGACTTCTGCATGACGTAACAATTGAATTAAACCAGCTGTTAGCGAGCGGATGAATATTAGTTATTTCTGCTCGACCTTGCGCTGAGTTGGGCAGGCTTTCCATAGCCCTGTTTAGTTATTATTAGATAAGTTATGCTAAGACGTTGTTGAAAAATGTATAAGTAAATTATTAAACACTTGTAGATCCTTACCACGGATATGGGCCGTGAGACGAAACCATGAAAACGCCCAGAAAATGAGTTTCGTAGCGCACATCTGGTAACTAAATAAATTCTTCAGTTTTGTGTGAAAACGAACATAATGAACGCATTACAGCTTGTTCCACAATCCTGGTGCGAAATTGAATATAAGAGGTTCCCGGAAATTCAATAACCATAAGTTTACAACGCATACATAAGAACTATACAATTCGAGAGCCCTACAGCACACTAACACAAATGTATTCCTGTAATGTTTTGCCTGACCAAAATCGGACTTCCTCAGTCAATCATAATTTATTAGGTAGATTACGAAAAATATGGCATACATGTAACCAACAACAAAAAATACTTTAATTGTGTGACAGGAGTCGGGAGTGACCTCGAAAGCAGCGACACCAACAACGCTGATTCACATTTGAGAATAAATTTTATGTAATAACCACAAGCAGTTTACAACAAGAACAGCATAAAAAGCTACATCCATTTTATAGAAGCTATCAAGTATCAAACGTATTTATTTTTAAGCA